GTGGTAGTGACCATCTTGGTGGTAGAAGCTCGAGGCCGCGAAACGGTCGATAGGCCGGGCCACCTCGCGGGGCTCCTTGAGCAGTTCCCATAGCTTGGAAGGAGATGTGGCATCTCCAGGGAATCGACAGGCGCTGCCAACAATGGCAATGGGCTCTTTGGGTGAAGAAGACATTTTGGCGGAGGTGATGAGAATTTGATGGATGGTGCTTCACTTGTCTGGTAAATAGAATAGGAGAGAATTAAAGACGTTCGAGTAGCTAGACTCGAATTAAAAGGCACAAAGAGACTTGATAAGACTTGGTGCACTATAAAATTAAACAAAAAGACTGGGTAAAGACTGGGTCAGACTTGATAGACCTGATGAGACTTGGTACAGGTATCAGACCAGACACTGAAGCGAGGGGAAAAGAGAGCTGAGGCCGCAAGCGCTGAGGATCAAGATGGATGGACGAGCTGAGATGCCATGAGGGCTGGGTTTTATGTTTATACCTGACAGCTTCAGATCCGGTCTCCGTTCGAGCGAACCTGCTATGCTCTCGCCTCAATGAGAACCCTTGCATGGCCTTCCATGCGAACGCCTTGTGGTGAGAGTGTAGAAGTGGTATCCCGATGAGGAAAGAACTGACTCAGGAACTACTGACCACGATGCTACATGGATTCAGTATCCACAGATCCTCTATTATTCCGGTAACCGTGCCTGCACGCCCCACTGATCCTGCTGAGCCATGGATTTTCGGCTCAACGGGTAATCTGCTAGTTCTGATTTGTGAAGCCTCCTCAATACTACTCCTTCTTTCAGAGCTTCCTAATCCGATTCTTCACTGTTCAGCGACCCGCAGGGTGATTTGCAGGTGACACATGGGCGTCGGATTGGATTGTGGAGTTCCTGCGGGTCGGCGATGGAGCCAGAGGAACACGAGGCAATCCTGCGTTAGGCTTGTCAGCCTTTCCGAGTCCAGTCGCACCATGAGCTGCTAGCTCTGACATTTGCCTCGTGGAACTGACGATAGTGGGGTTTCGGATGAGACACGGGCAAGGCGAGCGAATAGGGTCGTATGTTGAGGCGGACCTTGATAGATAAGCCACGAGAAAGGATGTTACTTACTTCGTATTTTGGCTGCAGTGGACAAGACCATATGGGGCAGACTAGATTAAAGTGTGGAAAAATCTAGCCGAAAGATGGAAGGTGTAGGGTGGGGGCCAACAATGATCCCTCACAAACGTGCCCCTGTCAGTGTTTCTGAAGATAGAGCCGCAGATGGATGAGCTAGATGGCTACTGTTGGAGTTTCAGATACGCTGCATGTATAATTGTTGGGGGACTCTATGCCGCCAGCGTTTGTCCTGCAGCAGCATCGTGCTGGTGGTTGAGATGCAGTCTTGGCGAGACACCTCGGGCTGTCTGGATGTAGTATGTACGATTAAGCATCGTGGGTAGATCCGATCCGTGCTCGGCACCGGGCCAAGCCAGTGTCGATAATAGAAACGCCGCAAGGATATTAGCATCCCTGGCGATAAACCTATTAGTCACGAAGAAGGCATGTGCAGTCTAGCCGCCCAATACGAGATTCTTGCCGCCAAAGCTTACGGGGATCCTTTAGGGCAAATCCTACGGGATTCCTCAGGCCAAATCCTACGGGATTCTGGGGGCCAAATCCTCGGGGAATGAGGTCTTTACAAGTGCTGATTTTAAGACTCTGCGTCAGAAATTAAACGCCTCCACGCGAGCGGTCCATCTACCACCCTCCACCGATTCTTCGCCCCTGTTTTATTCTAGCTTCCCTCTTGTATACCCGATCTGGATGTATTTACCGGCCCTGCCATGCTGGTTTCTTCTTTGAGACAACAACTTCGTCCGTTTTCCTTGCCAAGGCGTGCGGCCATCTCTTCTCTTGCCATACTGGGAATGTGGGATAGTTTGCCCCGAGTAAAGCCTCCCGTGTGCGACGGCTGGATGGAACGGTGATGGGAATTTCGCAAACCAACCCCCAGAAGAGAGAAGAGGTTGCCTTTCTTTCCCATCTCAGTCCGCCTTACGCCACACTTGTACGAGATCGCGCCAGTGTATATAGATCTTACAGTCGACAACCACCGCGTCAAAAGACATGTCGATATTGTTGTTGTTAAGACATTAATTACGAGTTTAATGCTGTCGCTGGTTTACGACGACTACATCCCATTCCCATACTTTCCGTCTCTCCTCCTGTCATTTCCGATCATCCTTTTCTTCCTCTCCCTGATTAATCAACAACGACGAGGTAAACAGCAGCAACACCACCACCACCATCACCGTTACGAAACAGCATCGCCTGCACCACCACCATCCTTCATAATGATCGCCCCCATTCCCAAGACGCAGACCGCCATCATTGCTGCTGACGAAGAGGGCACTCTCCGCATCTCGCACGATGTGCCTGTGATCGACCTGGAGCCGGATTCCGTGCTCGTCAAGACGGCGGCGCTGGCCCTCAACCCCGTCGACTCCAAGATGGCCAAGGGCTTCGCTGTGCCCAATGCCATTCTCGGCTTCGACTTTGCCGGCGTCGTCGTGGCCATTGGCAGCGGTGTCACCAGGCAAGACCTCAAGGTGGGCGACCGGGTACTAGGCACCGCCGACAGCATGGACCGTAACAGACCGAGCGGCGGCGGCTTCTGCCAGTACGCCTCGACCGTGGCCACCCAGGCTCTGCGTCTGCCGGATGACATGTCCTTCACCGATGCCGCTTGTATAGGCACGTCGCTGTCGTCTGCAGGCATTGCCTTGTTCCGCTCCATGAAGTTGCCCGGGTCATTGACCGCACCCAACTCGGCCGCCAAAGCGCCCTACGTGCTCGTCAACGGTGGTAGCACTTCGACGGGCACCATGGCCCTGCAGCTGCTCAAGCTGGCAGGCTTCCGGCCCATCGCCACCTGCTCGCCGTCGCACGAGAAGCTGGTCCTCTCCTACGGCGCCGAGAAGACGTTTGACTACCGGTCCGCCGACTGCGCCAAGGACATCAAGGCGTACACCAAGAACGCTCTGGCCTACGCCATCGACTGCATCACCGTCACTTCGTCCATGAAGCTGTGTTACGAAGCCATTGGCCGCGCGGGCGGTCGCTACACCGCGCTGGACCCGTACCCCGAGGCCCAGGCCACCCGCAAGGTTGTCAAGCCCGACTGGATCCTGGGCTCCACCGTCAAGGGCCGCGGCAGTACCTGGACGGCCCCCTACGGGCGGGACGCGGACCCCGATGCGCGTATCTTTGCTGACGAGCTCTACGCCGGCGCTCAGAAGCATCTGCTCGAGGGCAACCTCAAGAACCACCCTGCCAAGGTCATGTCGGGCGGGTTTCCCGGCATTCTGGAAGGATTGGAGATGATCCGAAGAAAGGAAGTCAGCGGTTTCAAGCTTGTTTACGAGGTGGATCAGTAGGGTTGAGCTTTTGGGTATAAGGCGTTGCTCATTCTTTTTTTTATCTTGTTCCATTTGTTATTTACGAAGCTTCTCTGTCAAGGGCCTCAAGGGGATTTTGGGTGCTGAATAGTGATAACCTTGAGGCTATGTGCTGACAGCAAACTTATTTGATGAATTGTAATCATATCAACTTAATTTGATTTTATCAGTCTATCCAGTTATGCTCGTAGAAGCATCCAAAAATATTAATATACAAAACATCCTTAAAGCTCCTCGTTATATAGCTCGAGATCCTAATTCTGTACTTTCCACCTCGATATTCATCTCAAACCCCCTACTCCTCCAGGGAGCAGCCATGGGGGCAGTTATAGCCAGTTCTAAGAAATATAAAAGCAACAGTCCCAATTCCCACCTATACCTGTGAATGTGGCAGTCAAAAAGAGCCAGGCGGGCATAAATTCTTCAGAAGAAGCTATACAAGATATGGGAGACCCTCCCGAGCAGCCGCCCATACCTGCTTTGGTCCCACCTCAGCCATATAAACAGGCACCTGCGAAATGGGATGATTGTGAAACGATACGACATTGGAGTAATGGGTGTGTTAGTAGTTAATTTACTTCATATTTACGGTGTCAGAGTGATTAAAATGTATGTTTTCAAAATAATCGGCGGTTGGGTGCGGCACTCGCTTGGGAAATATATATTTCCTTCGAAGCACCCGTGGTAGTTTCCAAAGTCGTATAGTCTTGTCGCCATGCCAGTTGTCAGCTATCATTGAAGAATATTACTGACTAAACTAGATTTGGATAATTAAAGTCTCTATAATATACTCGAAGAATAGTCTCCAATTTAAAATCCAGCTAGTATAGTCTTGTAAGATATGTTGTATATTCCAGGATTATATTACTCTGGGTCACATATCTATTAGTCGCCTAACTAACTGGAAGCAACTTATTTCTTTTTGGTCTAGCGGTTAGTGCGTCAACAGGTTATAAGCCCGGTCGGGTTCGATTCCTAGCGTGGTCAACCTGGCTCAGCCCATGCAGTTCCAGTATGAGGGGGTGTCTAAGCCAGAATCTGGGCTGTGTTAGGACACATTTATCTCCGTCGCCTGGCTAACCTGAAATGATAATATCTTTTTTATTGGTCCTAGCGATTAGTTCGTCTACATATAATAATCATGAAAGCTAAAAGCAAGCATCTTGCTGCCAGGCAAGAAAATCATTTACTGAGATCGATCAGAATAGACTCTAAGAAGAGTTCAATATACGTTCTTCATCTGTAAAGTAATAACAGCTTTATAGTCTCGTTAATCTAACCAGACATAAGTAACTGGCTATTTGTTGAGAACACCGCCAATAAAACAAAGCCTAAGTAGCTCTAAGATACTATTTTAGATCCTTTATTGTGGAGCCTCAGAGCCACAAAGTACAAGTATTAGAGCTACATACAAGTAACTTACTGTCAGGAGAGAAAACTGCTGACCAAAGTCCCTCTCAATAATCTTCAAAACTTTGCTGTAAAATGCCTGTGGCAGTAGTATACCAAAATCAGATAATCCGTTACTGGAGCTAGATACTAGTATATGTTTAAATGTAGTATGAATTAACCTAATTTCTAAATAGTCTCCAAGCATTCACTGCAAGGCCCCTATGATAAAATTCCAGAGACAGATACTACCTCGGCATCCCCCGCCCCTCGGGAAGAAGAAGCTTGCTTCTAAGAGCTTGGCCTCTTTCAAGGATTTGCCACTGTTGCGGGAGATAGTCGATTTCTCCTGTCCCAGCCACAGGATTTAGCTAATATATGCATCTACCTTGTAGTGACATGACCAATTTTGTGGTCTAATGAGGGAGCTCTGTTTGGGTACCGGAGGAGATTCATCCTCATGTTGATCCATATATGAGTCTGATTCAGCGCCAGTAGCGATCAGCAATTTGTCAAGACCCAAATCCTGGTGGATCAAGTCTGCACTCCAAGTCACACCGGCTAGGACAGCCTTGAGTAGAAATAAGCAAAGCATTTCCGATGATTTTGGCTGAGAGACCTACATTTTGTCGATCTGCAAAGACAAGTTGAAGATGGTTTACACCTCCCGAGAACATGGATGATTCTGTACACCTCTGTGCGTCTCAAAGGCCATCTGTGTGCTGGAAGTCCGAGTCTTCTCATCATGCCCTTTTCTCTCCCAGGATCAATCTTGATTTTCCAGGGCTCCGAGTTCAGAAAGAGTCGGTGACATAATTGATTAGCAACGAGGGAGTGGGAAGCTTTGTGATATGAGGCCATGAAGTAACTCAAAGAGTTTCTTAACAGCCCCTTCAAGGCCCGTAATAAATCGCTGTAAAGCAACGATATTATTCGAGCATATTTCATCTCTTGAAGATAGCCACCACATATTTTCACAACGCTGCCGGTGAGTTATATGACACCAAAGACGCTAGCTGCTGCGGAAGCCCCTTCCATATTTGAACATGCAATCAATCTGTGATAGCTACTATTTGAGCCAGGAGGACTGAATCATGTCAAGGACATATGTAGTTGACGGCGGATGTACCATCCGTGACCGCATCCCCGGTCAATTTGAAGAATGGTGCATTAAAGAGCGACATGTCTTCCGTAAGAAAATGCCCGGCGTGAACATTGATCTGAAAACACGATTGATACAAATAGTTAGCAGGACTGGAAGCCAATCTACCTACTGTGCCATGCCTGGCATGGTCGGGATGGCAGAATGCCGAATAATTCCATCTAAAGCCGAGATCGCGCTCCAGGCCTCCCGTCCCTCGACCATCATCCGTCCACAGACTTCCCACATTCGGTGCATCCCCAGGACCACGGAATCCCATCCCAACGATGGGGTTGGGCATCGAAGCATATATTGATCAAGGACTATTGACAGGTCATGTTGGCTGTGGGGGTGATGCGTGGGAGAGGCAGAAACCGATGGCGGTCGGTAATGGGAGGATCGGCGGCCGGGACAGCAGTCATGGCGGGCCGAGTGGGAAGCAACGGCACGCCATGCACGGGATCAAGCACCAACACTGCGCTGCGCAACTATACGCGGTGTTGCAATAAGCACCGATAGCCGTCTTTGATTGCATGCTTGTGTACTACGTGGGAATCCCCCGAGATGTTACAGGGGATGTCTGGGTGACTTGCATGAACTTTAAGAATGGGTGTAGACTGCGTCATCCGGGGAGCTTCCACAAAGATCAGGCAACCGCGGATGCCAGGAAGGTGGGTGTCACCAAATAGCCAACACTGGGATTGCTAGCCTTCTGAATGCTGCTAGCGTGGAGAGGTTTCTCTTGTCCCGTGGGACATCATGCCCCCTGCTATGTACTACCCACGCTGACTGGGTGGGATCGCACAATCGGTACAACGCGATGGAGTACTTGAGCAACGAATCCTGCACAGCTCCGATGTTCACAGTTGGGATGTTGATATACCCTTCCAGGTCCTGATCGACCACTGGATCTCTCCCGGGGTGTCCATTCGGAAGGGCGGAAGGGCATTGATGAAGATGGCGCAGCGGACCAGCGGTGGCTAGCGCGGATACAGTTTGGCATGATGGGATCAAGAGTCCGGCCGCCAGAATGCCCCCTTAGGAGAAGCCAGGATGCCATTAAAGGCGGCGGCGTCGGCCATGACATCGTACAATCAGGCATATGCGTTCAGCAATGACATCCGGATTCCCAGACACTGGTGCAGAAAGACGGAGGAAAAGGCGATAACAGCTATAATGGGGGCCATCATAGTATCCCGCAATCTTGGACCGGGAGCGGAGTCCACGTTGCCTTCTTCAAAGTGAAATGTCGCTGTATTATCGCGTCGCAGCTCGGCCATCAGCCCGCCTTGACAGTCAGCCGGGGAGATGGCACCAATCGGAATACCACATACCCAATTGAGCTTGTAGGATCTACCGGCGGCGTTGTTAGTCAATGCGATCGAGGACGTCTACAGGAAGAAGGGCTCTCACCTGGACATTGGTGCCCCAACCTCGGAAACAACACAGTTTCAGCGGCATGAGGCTGAGACGACTGCGGAATGGAGATAAACTTTGTGATGGAGACTGCAGGTTACAATCATGGCCAGGCAGTTCTACTCAGCCGTGGTTGTTGACACTTTTGTCAATCGGGAGAATCTCTGCAGTGAGCGTGTCTCTTGGTGTCACTACGGATCATTTGATCCGGGAAGGCCGAGACGCTGCCTGGGTTCTTTCCCTGGCGATGCGGCCATGGACCATGAACCGATCTCATGAGTGCAAATAGAAGTGGCCGTGCAAGCGATCCGAGTGGATACACAACAGATAGTACGATTGGGTCCGATCTATCTATATACTATGGATCGATATTGGCGAAGTCGTGGGTAGCAACGACCACCAATTAGGAGTTTAAGGCCGAGAAGCGCGCAATGCGCCATCTGGTGTACGTACACCATGCAAGATGGACGATGCACGGGAACCAAGTATAGCAGCAGCGAAGGGGAGATAAAACATTCTGGAGCAGCAGTCATGTTGCAATCGGGACATCCCCCTGACCCGAACTCCACCCAGAGTCTGGAAACCTCGACTGGTTGTCCCTTGGGCCGCCATGATTGGCGAGTTGCCACCACCACCACGCCATGGACTCCACCACACACAACTTGACTGGTTGGCATTGGATGGGGCCCAAACCAATGGCGGACCGGATAAAGTGAAAACTAAAATGGTTTGCAATGGTGAAAACTTTCCTTTTGGTCGGCCCGGGGAGGGATGGGATTGGGTGGGATTGGGTGGCCAACCCGGTTTTTCTTCTTTCTCAGGTACCACAACGTGTCTGGACCCATTCATTCCCATTCATTCCCTGAACAATCCCTCAGTTGGTCTATGGCAGTCCCATACAACATGTGAGGTGGAAGTGAAATTGTGAATATTGGGGCAGATTCAATTCACTCTGTGCTGCAAGGAGAGCAGCGATGACGATGACCAGCAGGATCCAATATCAAGTCGGGATGAAGGGATGGGAATCGTTCTGCAACATTGGCCGGTGAGCTGTCAGTTGGTTTCATCGTGCAGCGCCGATCCTGCATTCAATTTCTCCGGGATCCAGGCCGGCTTGTCCTTCATCACCAATCACGCCCGCCCTCCCCAATGTGCCATGAAGTCATGCTTCTCCTCCATCCCATCCTGTCCCGGCCCTGCTTAAAACCACTATCCCGACGGGTCTCTCATCTCTCCTCCCAGACTGCTCTTGGATTGTTTCTTTTCTTCCCGTGTCTCGTGCCTTTCCGATCCCGACTTGTGGGTGTTTGCTGTGGACTTTATTCTGGTATCTCCGACACTGCATTCTTCCCTTTCCCTAATTCTGCAGCAGCTGGTGCTGGTCTAGACTGCGACTTATTTTTGGTCGGCCCCCCGTGGACTTTGCCTGTAGACGCCCGTTGGGATTCCCACGCTTGCTCTCCACCCACCCACGCTTTTCTTATCCACCTTTTTATTTTTTTTTTTGCCTTTTTGACTCTCGTCGCTTTTTCCCTCCTGCCATTCAGAGTAATTCTCCAGTACCTCCATCCATATTCTATCAATCCCGTCCCCATCACGTTTACCCGTCTTTTGACACTTGCACTCTTATTCATCGGGTTCTCCCCGTCTGCCTCTTCTCATTCGCTGGGGTGCTTTATATTGCCGAGTCTATCCGAACTGCCCTTTTTTTCTTTCTTTGTTCGCCGTTTCCCCCCAGCTTTTCAGCTACATATCACGCATTCCTCGCCCATTTGATTTCCTCCTTACATTTTTCACCCCCCACACCTTTCGTGGCTTGACAGATTCCTGATTGTCCGCGCAGCTGGCTGCTCGGACTGTTCCAATGTCGGAGTCACCACGCCATGACGATGCCTCCTATGAACTCCTAGGCCGCCAGAACAGCTGGGATGGAAACGACGGGAACGACGACACCCTCGTCCCACGCAATTCTGGCGAGCCATCCGCCCCCTCCCATCCCGAAGGCGAACCTCCTGCTGCTGCAACAGAAGAGGGTGCCCCCAATGAAACCACCAGACCCGCGCGCGTTCGATTTCGCTCCGTCAGTAACCATAATAATGAGACGGTGCCCCAACGCCCGCCCATGCCGCGCGGGGATTCCGAATACTCCCTGCGCTCAGTGCATTCCTTCGTCCCGACGACCGCGGAATCGACGGATCTGGCCGACTATTTCGAACGCGATCACGCGCAGGAAAATGACCCGGAAGAGCGAAAAGGCGACCACCCGGAAAAACGCTCCTCGCCCACCGCCGATGAATCGCGAGACACCTCCCTCGACAAAGATGAGCCGCAACAACCCGTCTCCGCCAAGGACCGCTGGAAGAACGCCAGCAAACTGATTCGCCAGAAGACCGTGCTCTTGGGTGAACGTCTCGGTCGACCCTTGGATGATGTCGGCGATTTGGGAGCCGCCATGTTGCCCGATGATCTGGAGGGCGGCTATCCCCCCCGTCGTAGGGGCGAAGAGAAGGAGCCTCTCGATCCTCATGGCCGCAATGACGAAGCGCCTCCCCCGCCGAGTGCCGAAGCCCATCGCCTAGTTCGCAGCATGACCCAGCACAACATGCATCAACGCCGCAAGCCCAAGTCGGCATATGCCAAGTCGGGCCAGGAGACTCCCGATGGGCTGGGTCGTCCGGACTCGTGGTACGGAGCTGGGACTCCTGGTGGTCGCGGCGGGGGTGGTATTCTCTCGCAGCTGCTCAAGTTACACGCACAGCAGCAGGCCAACCGAGACAATATGTCCATGACGGACTCCTCAGATAACGAGTCCGTAGCATCCTCCGGCACCGCAACGCCCAGGAGAGACTTTTCCGCGGGTACCTTCTCCTCCGGAACGGCGACGCCCAAGAAAGAGAAGGTCAAATGGTACAAGAAGTCTAGTCATCAGTCCACCGCTTCCCTGGTGGAGGCGTCGATGAACCTCAGCCGGGCGAGTTTGCCTGCGTCGGCAGACACGTTGGTCAACATTCCCAACAAGAAAGGCAAGAAGAAGCGCAAGACCCGCCTCGAGGACGAGATCCGCGTTACGGTGCACATTGCCGAGATTCTGGCCCGCCAACGATACATCATGCAGCTCTGTCGGGCGCTCATGCGCTATGGTGCCCCCACTCATCGTCTCGAAGAGTACATGCAGATGACGGCTCGTGTGCTGGAAGTCGAAGGGCAGTTCCTGTACCTTCCCGGGTGCATGATCATGTCCTTTGACGATCCGGCCACGCGTACGGCCGAGGTCAAGCTGGTCCGTGTCGTGCAGGGAGTTGATCTGGGTCGCTTGGCGGAAACACACAATGTCTACAAGAACGTCGTTCACGACATGATCGGGGTGGAGGAGGCCATCCAGGAGCTTGATCTGATCATGAAGCGACCTCCCCGTTTCAACAAGTGGATCCTGGTGGTTACCTACGGACTGGCAAGTGTTGCCGTCGGTCCCTTCGCCTTCGACGCCCGCCCCATTGATATGCCCATCATCTTCTTCCTCGGATGCCTCGTCGGCTTCATGCAACATGTGCTGGCGCCCCGGTCGGTGCTGTACTCGAACGTGTTTGAAGTCACGGCGGCCATTCTGACCTCGTTCCTTGCGCGAGCTTTTGGTTCCATCTATGCCACCGTTGATGGGACGCACGAGCGCCTGTTCTGCTTCTCGGCCTTGGCTCAGTCCTCGATCGCTTTGATTCTGCCGGGTTTCATGGTACTGTGCAGCAGTCTGGAACTGCAGTCACACCAGATGATTGCCGGTTCAATCCGCATGGTCTATTCCATTATCTACTCCATGTTCCTCGGTTATGGCATCACGGTCGGCACCACCATCTATGGGCTGATTGACGGCGACGCTGCCTCGTCCACAACCTGTAAAAACGAGGACGTATGGGCCAGCAAGTATATTCAGCATTTTATCTTCGTTCCGATCTATGTGGTTTTCTTAGCCATCATCAATCAGGGCAAGTGGAAGCAAGTGCCCGTGATGATCGTCATTGCGGTCTGCGGCTACGTGACCAACTACTTCAGCACCCTCAAGCTGGGCTCCAACTCCGAGGTCGCCAACACGGTCGGTGCATTCACCATCGGTCTGTTGGGTAATCTGTACAGTCGGCTGTGGCACGGACATGCCGCCACCGCCATTCTTCCGGGTATTTTCGTGCTCGTGCCGTCTGGCTTGGCATCCAGTGGTTCCTTGCTGGCGGGTATCCAGTATGCCGACGAGGTGCGTGACAACCTGCGATCGGGAAACACGACGGCGACCGACAGCACTACCGACTCATCGATTGCCAGTCTGGGTTTTGGTATGATCCAGGTTGCCATTGGCATTACGGTGGGATTGTTCGTGTCTGCCTTGATTGTTTATCCCTTCGGCAAGCGTCGCAGTGGTTTGTTCAGTTTTTAGATTGTTTGCCATCTGATAATTTACCATATACACCGAGCGGTTTCGAATTTATTTAGTGTTACGATGCGTTGAATCATGTATTTCGGGATCTTGTGTTGCATTTGAGCCGGCTTTGCATAGATATGACTATTGATTGATTGATTGATTCACTGCTCTCTCTCTCTTCTTTTTATTTCGGGTCATTGCAGGGCAATGTCTAGCCTTGATGAATATACCTTGGTTCGGTGGATAGATAAAATAGTTTCAGGATATAATTGACATGATGTCTCAATTCGATGGTTTACCTAATAATTCACTACGATAGACCTCTGATTCATCCAGATCAAGCACTCAGTAGAATGATGGTTGTCCCAAGCAGTCCAAGCTACTCCACGATCGCAAAGGACACTAGCAAATCAAATGAAAACAAAACCATGGTCTGCACCCCGCGCAAGATATCTTCTCCAGACCAGATGAACCAACTCCAACACATTAACCATTTGCCTCCCAGCGCATGAACCACTCCGGAACTCCTACTCTTGTTCCCTGAATACTCTGAAGTACTGAATGCACTGAAATAATTACGAGGGATGTATTCCTTTACTAAGAAGTAGTAGGCTTTGGGGCCCGATCACGTAGAAATCGTTCTTCATCTATCTATCTTCATCGATAATGACTTCAGTAAATACCAACTACTAACCAGATGTGCGATCAGATACCCATCCTTCTTAAGATCACTATTTATTCATCAATACCATAGTCAGAAAATAACCAAGATGTTAATCTTGAGACGATGAGACCATTCCAACTCGTCATCATCATCAATCATGGCCCATATAGCATGATGCGTCCCCGAGATGGACATTCAGTGTATGTATGTAAGTACAAAGCCACCCCCCCATGTCAGATGCGTCAGTATGATAACCAATGCCACCACTATCACCCAGCAAAGTCACTCAACCGCGGTGGGTAACCCCCACATCATTCATTTCTTTTGGATAAAGATCTTCGTTTTCAAAGGGAACTATCTCTCCCCCCGTCCCCCCTTCCTCTTGTCCACTTCGTGAACCTGCATGGGTCTGTGATGTTCGTTTTCGCGGCTTACTGATCGATACTCCTCTCTTAACTTTACCAGTAGGAGTTCAATGACCTCGAGCGGCCCTATTCAAGCACACTAGGACCCTCCTCAGACGCCATGTATTGTTTCCTAGGATTCGTCTTGGTTTTCTTGCCGTCTTTGTTTGCCCTCTCCTTCTTCATACATGCAGGCATACGATGTTGATGCTATGGTTCGCCCTCTTCGGCGCTGAAGTAGGAATCAGCAATTCTGTCCAAGTTCCACGTCGTCCTGTTACAATAGCACAGCACACTACCTCAACTTTTTGACCGCTGAGCGTACGTAATCTTCTGGGATGATGTGATCGTGGCTTTTCTTCGTCAAATCATCCGTATATATGTCGGGGTTGTATAGAGGCTCGTGGTCCCATCTGCCGTGTGTGTCGCTGTGCTTGAACGGAAGATCCAGGGATGGGAAGATGTGAGCGAGTACTGCTGGAGGCTTAAAGGTTTCTCAGATGCGTCTGTCTCCTTAGTAGGTAGGAGGATCGAGAAGCCGGTAGGTAGGAGTTGGGAGTATGTGCCCACTTCGGAACTTTTCCCCTTGGTCGGATATGAAATAGAACATGTGAAGGATCAAGTGGCTTTGTCGTCATACTTTATCATCAAGGTGCGATGCTCGCAGCGTTTAGGATATTGCAGTGAGAGGGGTATATACCACGTATGGGTGGATAAAATGATGCAGGTTGACACGCTGCTCAATGCATAGTGCCTCTAAAGATGTGTTCGCAGACGCAGCACGCTCTGCCCGGAAGCCGTGGATAGTAAAGAATGTAATTAGCATCTCGCCTTCTGTAAAACATCCAGCAAACGGCCAGTTCCGTTCACTGCATTATAAGCTCTGTTTTTCCTCCAGGTCAATGGTGATTGGAGGACCCCGTAGATCTCACCTTTCGACGGGAGAAACGTTTTCTGGTATGATTTCATCATGCAACGCTCTGGCAAAAGGACTGGGTTGTTTGTAGACGCAGAGACTGTCCAGGGTTTCCTTGAGCCGGGCGGAGGATTATGTCCTCCTGATTCACGCATAGACGGTCACTCCTCTAAAGAATGGAACAGTGATTGGGTATGACAGCCGTCCAGGGTTCGACATGTCTCGCATGGATTATATAGAAGTGAATTCAAGACGTCTTAAGCAGACAGGAAGTGGGGATGATACGTCCGCGTTAGCGATGAGTTCCGCAGGGTTATGTCCTCCTGATTCACGCATAATGATAGTTGCCGACAACTCATACCAACGGAAAGCGAAGGTAGTTGCTGACGAAATGAAGCTTAGACTGATAGTACTCCTCAGCTTTGAATAAAGACTAGCAAGGTTCCCTAAGCTGATTGATGAAGCGTTGAACGATGCGTCCGCTTCAGATATGAGTCCCGGAGAGTTATGTCCTCCTGCTCACGCACGTTAATAATCGCTCCCGACACATACCAAGGGATGGTCGAGGAGCATGAGAATCCTCCAGTTCCTAGGATATACTGCCCGGCTTCGAATATGCAGTAGCAAAGCTTTCCCAGCCGACAGGGTGTCGAATGATATACCCGTGGTTTAAGTTACAGCAGTTGAATGCAGTCTTGAATCCCATCTTCAAGCTCGCTCGAAGAAAGACTTCGCCTCAGCTGTATCGTTATCCAGCATGGACAGGCGATCAGTTTGAAACCTATCCAAGCGCCGCAACAATACCGGGATAGAACAGCAGCAGTAGTAACATCATCTGCTCCTTCCCTTAGATCTTAGAAGCGGACAGCCTCTCGCAAGTGTGTCCATATCGACTTTGCGACAGGGAAAGACCAAGGAAAGTGTTCTGCCGTCTGGGTAACAAAGTCGACATCTTCCCTAACAGCAGCCTCCAAATAAGACCCAGGGAAGATTCCAGTGTCTTCATTCGATGTCTTCTCTCGTTCGATATCTCATCTTGCCTGCGACGAAGGCATGAAGGAGACGGGTAGTATGGCTTCTCCTCTAACCAAGAATGATAATTGGTGTCTTGCTCACTGGGTATGTATGGCAGCTAGCCCTGCCATAGTAGATATCATCCCCACCCTGTCTCCTTAAAAGGAATTGGGTAGTAAATTTCGACCCCATGGTACATCCAGAAGGTGTGGCATGAAGTAATTGCGGTGCCATTATCACGATCCTCCGGCCACGGCATAAGGGACAACAACTCTTCTGAAACGAAGAACTGTTGAGCGAGATTGCTGCAATTATATCATAAACCACAGCTCCATTTTCGCGCTGGTTTGGATCAACATCTTCCGTCCGGTCGGCATGTATGGCCCTAGCTTGAATTACATCTGGGCCGGCCTTGTCATTGCCGTTGTTAGATTCTTAATGGTCGCATCTTTCAACCTCCGTAGTTTAGAATGAAAAAGACCATCCTGGGGTATGTTAGATGTAGGGCGCATCATCCTCGTCATGAGCCATGCACCACGGATCTGACAAGCATTCAGTCAAAACTGGTGTTCGAATCTTGAGTTTCAGCGACGAACTATGGGCGTTGTCACCGCATCTTCGAGCGGACGATGGCCAACCGGCATATCCATAGTATCTTCTTCATCCACCACCACTAACGAAGGGAAGATATAGAGGTCATACATATGGGCTGCATTGTTTCGACAGTGCTACAGTCGGCGACCCATATAGCGGACAACCACCTCCACAAAATGACCGAAAGAAAAGACAACGGCGAAATTTCTGAGGAATATTTCGCAAGAGGACGATGGAGCATTGCCACTTATGCATGTGTCCCATGGAGCTGCTGAGGATGTGCCTTGATGGTAGAAAATGCAAATGAGACACCCGATAGCCAGTAGCTGGCATTAGGTGATCTCACAACCGCGTTGCTGAAATGCTTGGGCAATATGTTATACCCAGATTTTCTGTAAATAACCTGGAACGAACACAGGACTAGTGAAATGCTGATGGTACAGGGCATGTTCGGTCATTCTATATGTAGGTTCCATAAACAAAGGACGGAAGATGAAAACTCCAGCAGCAGGTCTCTTAATGGCGCGTGGGTGCCAGACGCAGTGCATAAACAATGAGCCTCAGGGACAATGCCACAAGAGCATCTCCAATTGCAAGGGTATGCTGAGCCCCATGTTTATATGTACTGTGTAGATGCAGAATATAGCAGGAACACGTCTCGTTAGCGAGAGTTGGCAACCGCGCAAGGTGTTTCCTTGACTATATCGCGGGACAGCACACAAACTCTGTGGTCTTCAGAGTCATTAGCAGCACATGCCTTGATGGTAGAAGATGTGGTGTCGAAACGGTCGTAAAATATCCAGCGTAAAAATCTGTCACTTGGACAATGCTTAGTATTCCGAGGGTGAGTGGCCTCTAGAGCCGTTTGCAATACGTGCTCTGAACATAAGAAGATGCAGTTGGTGAGAAAGTCGGTAGCCGTCATTAGTAACCGGTGAACAGTCTCTTCGATCTTGTTATGTCTTCCTTGGGTGACTCAATGGCCTCATGTCCTATGTCCAGGATGATAGAAAATGCAGTTCGAGAACAGCCTGTAGCTGGCCATTAGTCGCCGCGCATAGCCTGTAGAGACGAAGTAGCGAGGCTAGAACTGGACATCTTTTGGGTTTGGCAATCGAAAAACGTGTTTTGTGGCGAAGAGATATGCACTTGGGGCACTGATACAGTGACCTGCGATTGCCCATTTCTAACTGGTCTGTGGAACTGCGTCGACAGTTTCTCACAGGCCTCCGTTTCCGCAACTCTCATTCAACGATGGATCATATATGAACTAACTCTTATATCTGCAACAGCCACCTTGAAGGGGTCAATGCAGCGACGTATGTGCATTTCCATTATATATGCTCTATTTGCATAACCGTTCGTATCCAAGCTCTGCTGGAGAAGTATAGTGTTTTGTTCCGGGCATCGTCATGCAATCATCAAACCACGGAAGGGCGACGGCACTTAATGCACACGTTTGTATCCAGTTTATCTTCCAAAACAAACGAGGCCGCGTATTGTCAAGTGAGCTCGAACCACCTTAATCTCCACAAATCAGGTTGACTACCGGCAGTACCAGGTTTGTGAGATAGTCCTTAGTGCGCCTTAGAAGGCGACTGAGTGGAACACATGTTCCAAAGGGAGCTTAGCTTCCAAGCCCTTTGTTGTTTATATGAAACTGACGCATATTCTGAGGTATAGCCCGATTCTGAGGATACTCAACAACCTTGTCGAACGGGAATGATTGCAGTTTGATAATGATCATGGTAGTTCCTAGACCTGGGACTGGAGACTGCGGACTTGAAGGTACTCGCGGTTGATGATTATCTTTGAGGTTCTCCCTACTGGCAATCGAATAACGGCGACCGCATCAGCTGCTGCAGATTCTATCGATGCTCACAGCTCCATAGCCCTGGTAGCTTCATTACAGTTGGAATCAAAGTCGTAGCGTTCACTTCTTGGATAGTAGCCAAAGAATGGAGGTTGTCAACGTAACTCCAGGGCGTGAGGTAAATGTGGCCTCTCAGCCTCGAATGTAGGCGTTGGTCAAGCAGTCTAGCCAACTCATCACCCTCGAACTGGAGGGCAACCGCCTCAGAAACGCCATCCCTCAGTGACCGTTCGCATGCCCACAAGACATAGCCAGGATCACCAGGCATAAGAGAAAGCTTCTCGACATTGACGCCAGGAAGCTTACGATGTCTAGCCAGGAACGTTTCGTAATGGGCAGTGTGGCGCTAATGAAACGTCAGCATATCGGTTTCTAAACGAGCCTACCCATACATACTGATTTCTGCGCGACCGTCAAGCGGGCGCCCCGCTCGTGCACTGGGAGCATGACAACATGGAATCTATCGAAAAGCTTCCAATGGCAAAGATCAACTCTGGGTCGGTAATTCTGTGGAAAGGTGTTGCTAGTATGTAGATGGTGGCCTGGACCTCCCGGCTTCGCTCAATGGGAGCACCATCCTATAATGAACCATCGACGCCAAAAATTGGAGTCAATCCGTGAGAGACTGATACAGACCGAACAGATTCAGTTGCCAAATCGTTCTTCAGCTCTTTGAGTGGTTTTGCTGCAGAAGAGTTTGTCATTGCTAGAGCCTGTCTTCCAAGACAGAGCTTCCACTTGCGTCTTATCCTGAATCATCTGTTTCGGATGTGAAATATAACACGAATGGTTTTCGGGTACCTCATAGCTACAACCACCATGTAGTCGTTCCAGCCATTGCGACCGCCATCTTCGTCCGGAGCCTAATCCGGCAGGCATAAGGCGAAGAGGAGCAGCACGAGTATTATGAGAATATTAATATACTCTCCCCACAGTCTTCGATATCAGCGAAAGTCGGCTGAATAGCATAAATAGTCGTATGGGAATTCGAAAAATATATATGGCTATCAGAGCTGCTTTTGTTGACGTAGATGCTTTTCTTTCACCCCTGAGGCAAGCTGCACAAAGGGGACGAGTGTCTCATTCGACGTTAGCCGGCTGGTGGAGAGCGTTTGTGTGGTTGGAGGCAGTGCTACCGCACCACCAATAATTTCCGAGGACTGATTTGTTCGGACGCGTCTCTTGTGCATCATACAGCCCCTGAAGTCCCGTTTTGGTAGTGAGATCATTGGGAGACTGTCTTGAGACCGTCCGTTTCAAACCTTCGCCCAGAAGCACCCCATGGGCACCAACTGGGAAAGGGTACCCCAAGGTATTCCATATGTAGGTTATATCAGACCATGTACCCATGGTCCTCAGACGACTCTGCAGGTGAGTATTGCAATAGGTACAGCGAGGAGTTAGCGTTGGCTCGCTACACACGCGTCACGAATCTGCAGCTTCTCATGAACCGACAAGACCCAGACCTAGTATATAGATCGCAGTACCATTATTCGGCTTTCCTTAACTCATGAGGTTGTGGATGACCATTTCCCTTAGGGAGCCTCTACATGCGGTAACCAGGGCTGCATGTAGAGAGGTATGTCCAAATCGTGCCGACAGGCCATTTTGGTAGAACGTGGTACTCTCAATTATCCCAGCGACTTTGAACTGGCTCAGCATGGACTCTCAAGCATAATGGTACTCGAGTCTGGGAGATCCAGTCACCTTGCTGGCAGATTGAGACTCTCTGCTACCCATCTAAGTCCCTTCCATCGAGCGTGAGGGAGAGAAAATCAAGGTCCGGACCCAGAACCAGACATTTACTGCCGGATTTGAGCTAAGAGGGAGCCTGCTGGTGCTCTTCAGAGGCAAAATTGTTGTAGCTGAAACGGAGAAGTTTATGCGAAGACAGAAGACCACAGCCTTGGAGAAGGAAGCCCACGCATAGGCTCTATCAGAGAGCAATATAGAACCGTTGGCCCCTAGGCGATCCACGCCGCCATTTGGGCAGTTTCAACTTTCTCTCCTGATTTCGAAAATTGGTAGATAGGTACCGTAATGAATGATCTCCGAGATTTCCCCAAAGGACAAGCGAAGCAAGACCTGACCGGCTCTTTCTCCACTGCAGTCTGCTGCCCAAGCTTTCAACCTCATACACACTTTGTTGTATGTACTGCCTCGATTTTCTCCATGAATGGCCCCGTAGGCTGGGCTTTAAATATAGGAGCTTATGCATGGCCTTCGATTGAGAATGCACACGCAGCCTTATATTTCTAGTTCCGATGCTCTGTCCATGAATGCTACCCCGTTGCGTTCTTTGCTTGCATATGAATGCCGTAGGCAAAAGCGCGTCAAGTTTTCTAGGGTAGAATGCATGCTTTCTGCAACCTGGACGGTCATGCCAGAGAATTGCTGCGTCGCCATCATGCAACAAAACCCATGGTTCCGTCGGTGAAAATACGCCTGTCGGTTGGTCCAAGTGCTCTTCATATTCAAGCAAGCGCCAGCATTTCGCATTCGTATGTATACCCTTGATGACTGGGTCTCCAAACCTATCATCTGTCATAGTGAAGGGTTGCCGGGAAGCAGTTAGACAATGAACAACTCCCAGAAGTCACCGGTCGGACCCTGATGAAAATTTGAACTTTGCTCCGTTCTAGGACGCCAAGGCTGGGCTCTTTCTTAGAGGGTTGACTCAGTATTGTTCGCTATCGTCTTTTCTCTGACACCGTACACTCGGGGGCATTGGAATGGTTTATGAGTAAAACCATTGCATCCAGGAAGCCGATAAGAATAAGTCCAATAGTATCACTTTCCAGGGGGCTGTTGTCCAACATTAAGTCGACGTGCTCACGAATCCCCGGCTCTGGATCCTGGTCCTTTGTATATAGACTGACCGATTCCTGGTTAATTGGCACATTTGAGGGCCACATCTGTTGCCATTATGCCTTGTCGTACGGCACATTTACTTTCGGTGTATCGTATCGTCCTGGAACTAACGGGGATATAATGCATGGCCCTGGATGAATGAAGGGAGCTTGAAATCCCCAAGATGTGCCGAGGACAATGCTTGACCTGGTAGGTTGAGTATCTTTAGACAGGATTTTCAAAGGGGTCACAAAGGCAGCATGCCACAGTTATTATATCGCTTTTTTTCTTTGGCTGCGCCCAACCCGTTCATTGGTACAGACATACCAGGTAAAGTAAAGTCAGTTGAGGTGACACACGAGGTGATGTACCGCTCGTGGAGCTCTGAACGACAGCTCAATGAAAGTAATGGTGTGGTCGAAGGATTGTACCATAGCTCGCTCTCTTGCTTTTTACGGCCTTCTTGGAAAGCGTGTGCTTTTATAAGGAGTGAGCTGCCAGTGTCATTTGCTTGGGCAATGGCAGCTAGTCTGCAGAAGCTCATCCTGGCTGACGCTATACCGGAGACGATGTCGATGTCGTCTTTGCTCAGAGGCCCCGAGTCGTTTGGGGCACGTCAATAAAGTAGTCTTCGCTGCTGCTTGAAGACATGATCAAGACACGCGGTTCGACCTTCGAGTGTACATTATAACCGTAGAATCGCTTGTGACTACTAAGACATATGTTAGTGTGTGCAGTGGTAAAAAGCGACTTCTCTTCTTCGATCTGCGAGGTGGAGATGCCTACTATGATCGTCATCCAACTTGGTGTCTACAAGAAGGACACGAGCTTAGTTCCGACGAGCTAGTGAGAACTCTGTAAGATATATAGGAGCATCAAGAGTCGGACTTGCTTAGGAGAGTGGTTAGGGTTTATTGATGCTCGCGGAAGCTCTCATATAGATATGAAGTATCGGTGAGTCGTAGTAGTCTTTGTATTATAAAGGGAGAAGCTGAATGGTGTGGGTCATGATAATTTCCATGTAATAGCGATTATAGCCCTAGATCGATGGTATCTTGAGGCATAAATGATAGTATCAGTGGACATATCCTGAGATGAGAGGATGATATGGGATGATAGAGATGAGGAAGAAAGAGGAAAGAGAGAGGCAAGAACAGAGATTTTATACCTTTGCAGAGCAGCCCATCCGTCACTGAATTCAGGCATCTTCACTCCATATCACGAGTCAACGTGAAGTTGTATAAGCGTAGTGACAGGCCGCAGTGACGGACCATCGTCACTGCGGTGGCTATCCGTGACCGATCTTGCTATCCGTGACTGCGTTGACTCTGGTGAACCAAGTGTTCGGGAAGGGGTGAAATGAAGCTGAAGCGGGTCAGGGAACATTCCAAGCAACACTAGACGAGTCAGCGACGAGCCAGCGATCCACTCGGTCTCACCCGCTCCCAATAGTCTCAATTTGGTGCCAATGGCAACTAAGCACTCCATCCACTTTTAATTAAAGTGATCAGCGGTGCACGAATTCACATGCTGGATCTGGTACAGATCAGATTAATATCTCCTGGAATACGATGAAGGCCCACCTCAGGATTCACGATAAATTTCTGGTGACTGCCAGCCCGAATGGCATTCTCCGTCACTCTACACCTGCCGTTGGTTAATTCTCCGAACCTCTAATTAACAATTTCTGCCAAAATGCGTCTATCATCGCTGGCCCTGGCATCCAGCGCCATCCTACCCGCCTTAGGCTACAGCATCAACGACTTCTCCTGCAATAGCACCGAACACCCGAATCCAGTTGTGCTCCTACATGGGCTAGGCGCCACCTACTACGAAGACTTGAATTACCTGCAAGGTTGGCTACAGGCCCAAGGCTACTGCACTTACGCCAAAACCTACGGTGCATATGAAGGCTTTCCCTTTGTCGGCGGCCTCAAGGCCATTGCCGAATCGGCCACGGAAATCGCCGCCTACATCCGCGAGGTGAAAGAAAAGACGGGCGCCGACAAGATTGACCTTGTCGGTCACTCCGAAGGCGCCTTCCAAACCCTCTACGTCCCTAAGTTCGAGGATGGTATCTCGGAGATGCTGGATAAGCTGGTGGCCATTGCACCTCCCACCAGAGGCACCAACTTGGCGGGGATCTATGACATCGCATATGTTCTGGGAAATCTGTCGCGCGATCTGATAGGCGACGTCCTGGATACCGTGGGCTGCGCCGCCTGTGATGATCTGGGTCCGGATGGAGCAGCGATTGACCGCTTGAACGATGGCGAGCCTATCGTGCAGCCGGGAAATAATCTAACGGTGATTGCATCGCGGTCCGACGAATTGGTCACCCCAACCACCACCTCCTTTGTGCATGAAGATGGGGTGACCAATGAATGGGTGCAAGACACTTGTCCTCTAGACCCTGTCGGCCATATCGGTGAGGCCTACGATCTGAACGTCTGGAACTTGGTCAAAAACGCCTTGGACTCTACGCCGAAGCGTGAGTTCGTCTGCTCGCTGGGATCTCCCGGCAGGTGAGACTATCATCGTCTGAAAATTTGTATATAAGCATTTTTATATTTGGATACCCGGTTACCAGTCATTAGTGTCATAATGTATAATTATATCATCACAATTTCCTCCAAGCTTATGTCTCATAAAGATCCAAATTCCTTCTATGCGCTCTTCTCTCGTCCACCAGTGTGGATTCAGAGCGCTCGGGAGGCTGTTGGCCCTGAACAAGATTATGTCCGTCCCTAGCGACTTATCAGCAATGAAAGAAAAACCGGAAGCTATGGGTCATCATACCCTAGCTGTTTGTTGGGCAAAAATAGCGACAGAATTACGATAGGGGCAGAAAATGCCAGAGCTGCAATAGTGATCGACCTAAATTTGTCAGTTCAATATTCGCTTGGAAGCGCGTGACATACGTACCCCATTACATCTGAATACTAAGCGGCGCGTTAGTGTTTAGCTGGCAAGGCGAGGCAGATTACTTACAGCTCTGTCAATCGCTGTCCGCTCGGCTGACCCCCATGTTGGAAGAGTACCCGAGATCGAGTTGTACAGCCGATCCACCGTAGACTCACTCACACCAGACCCCAGATGTAACCGCAGTTGTTGACGCAACTGTCCCGAGTATATTCCTCCTGCAATCGCAGAGCCTATCCCGTTGCCTAAATATGCGGCCAGCAGGACCAACGAGGTGACCTGCGCTAGTTCAGCGTGCGATACCGTGATCTGTGCTGCAACAATGCCGACCGTCTCGATGATACCACTACCAATGCCCTGGACCAGTTGCACGATGAACAACTCGGCCACAGAGCTTTCGTTTGTGCGGAGGCGAACCATAACGCCGTATCCAACCATGCGAACGACCGCTCCGATGACGAAAATCCATTTGTAGGATCGTAGGCGGTACATCAGCAAGCCTGTCCCCATGCCCACAAGGGCTTGCATAACCCCGTTGGTGTAGTAGAGGAACTGCGCATTGCGTGGCGAAAAGTTATGCGACACCTCGGACCAAACATACAAACATGTATGTGTGGCGCCAAAGCTGATGTTGTCGATGCATACCAAAACCACTGGGAGCAAAATTGAAAGGTTACGGAAGTAGCGCACAGGCACCACAGGATGCCGGGCAACGTATTTCTCATATGGGTAAAGGCAAGCCAGAATCACGACACCCACAGCAATCAATGCATCGACCCAGGGGGTCTTCCATCGGCCAGCCGAGGTGGCAGCCAGTGTAATGGGAATCAGAACCAAGGCGAAGCCAGCACTTAGAATAAAGAGGCCACCTAGGTCGATGCGGGAGAAGAAACCATGTAGATTAAGCTGTTCATTGAGTACGAGACCTGACCGCTTGGCCCGCTGCTGGAAGACAAGAAGGGTGGTGATGATGAAACCGGCACCGAAAGGCATCAAGATGGCGAACATGCCAATCCCCCAACGCCAGCCAATGCCATCAACAACGCTCTGGACAATGAACGCGGACACCCAGGGAATGACGAGGAATGGAAGGTAGAGAATATTATAGGCGAAACCTCTCCATCGCATGGATGATAGATCCGAGACGATCGTAGCATTCAGAAAGGATGTACCTGCCTGTCCGATAGAATAGAGGACGTATCCGCCTGCGTAGGTGCTGAAGGTTTTAGAAGAGGCGCATAGAATGTAGGATACCACGTAGCATGTGACGGCGAATACATAGGCCTCACCCCGTCCAAGGACGTCAGAGATCTTGGCGATTGGGGGCTTAGAGATGGCAGAAATAATGCTCGCTGCGGTGTTCAAGGTAGCCAGCTCAGCAAGAGCGTCAAAATCAGATGTAGCAAAGTTACGGTAGGTCCCCACGGTTGAGTTGTCTAATTCACTGAGATGCAGACAGCGATCAGAAGGAGCTGCCGCTGTAGAGAGATGATAACTTACTAGATGACCATCATCATCGCCAGTCTGGAAGTGATCAGCACTTATAATATAATAAAGATATGACATACATACCCCGCATACAACAGATACCTGCCTTTGCGCCCGCTGACAGCTTCGGCAGCTTGAATTTTTGATGCCCCAGTTGCATCTGGAAATGCGGCACTCGATTCGTGAATGGTGACATCGATGGTATTGTGCTTTTCATCATCAGTCGTGAAGGAACTAGGGACATTTTCCGGTCTCCTGGACGGGCGGAAAATTCCGCTCCAGCCAGCCATTGTGTGGATGTGAGTACTCGAGGGCAGAATTCAGGCAGGCGGGCCACATCAGGTATGTATGCTTTTCCGAGGCGCAGACGAAGATCGAGATAGCCGGAATCGAATCAAGGTCGAGTGATCAAGCTCATTAGTGCGACAGACCGGACTCACTTATCTCCATCCCTGGCGCTTTCAAATGCAGGCGGTCAGCAGAAAGACGGGGATCGTGATCAAAATGGCGTCAGTAATACCACGCACAAGCATTGACACACCTTCAACTGGCTGTGGCCGATACTGGGAGAGTGGATGGATAAATGGAGAGAGACAGACCTGGCGGACAGCCGAAGAGATCGCCGTGACGAAGACATCAGCTAACGTGACTTATGGGCTGGTGGGGGGGCGAGCAATGCCAATCCATGACCTCGGCGGTGCGAACTTGCCTGCCTTGGCCAGCAAGGGCGCAGAGTAGCCACCGACGGTGCCGATCCGGGTGAAGATCGACGACTATAGGACCAAACCTGGTCGCGAAAACGGGCAAACATTTCGTCGGATTCAGCACCGACAACGGCAGTGGACGAAGAATGTGACCATCGGTGGGCACTTATTGATAAGAAGCTGCATTAGTCACAATGGATCCTGCGGGGGATGGCAATAATGATCCTCTGCCACGCACGTCCACTTCGGTCGATCGGCGAAGAGGCAGCTGTCAGGCTAGTGCTGAATTGCTCGCAATTACCGGAGTATCGGAGTATTAATCGTGAGTCAGTGTCAGTAAGTCTCTCCATTCGGTGCCCAGGGCAGATGGAGAGGCGCCTGAATGTTGAGATGCGCTGCGGAGAACCGAGGCTGGAACTTTACCCTTTCCGGAAACTGGGATGGGGATGGGGAACTGTTCCCCGCACGTGATGCATGCGGGACGCGTCTCAACATTGGCTCGAGGAGTCTGGGGATGGGGATGATGCTGCAGCTGCATTTACTTGTCTCCTGCTTCGACCCTTGACAGCACCAGAAACTACGCTGAACCACATTAGGCGGGAAATCTGCCTAAGCTTTGGCTCTAGCTTATTCAAGCTCGTGGCCTGTTTGGCAAGCATTACCATATGCGCTTAACTTTGTCTCTTCTTGATTGATTGACACCATCGCTAGGACTTTAGTTCTATTTGACACAAAAGAGGGAACGCTGGGAAAGGAATTGGCTCCCCTGCTAGTGAGCGTCAAGCACTAGCCTGAGATTTTAGCTTCAGCGTACACTCCGCCGTTCATCCCGTAAGGAACAGGCAGACCAAACGCACGTTGGCATTTGTCATGACCAGGTCACATACTCCGCCAATTTCCAACGATACAAAAGAATGAATAGGCAGAAATACAGCGAATACATATGGTGCGGCATGGTACCCCTTACACTGGCTCCCTTGGCTGGGAGTGTTTGAAGCAGAAGATGGCACACATCATGGTCCCTCACCTCTGGACAACAGAGTGGGGAATGAATGGCCTTTCTGCCCATTAGTTGCTTTGATACACGACTGGTGTCGGTAAATTGCTCGACTCAGTCAGTCTGCCTTTCACGTAACGAATACTACGGAGTCCGTGAAACCCCTCCATCGAACGAGCCCATATGGGGCAAGGAAATCAACCTTTTCCAGCGAGGACTATTGAGTCCCAAAGGCCTGACTGACATTATTTCGGATATGCGAACAGTAGTAAATAGTACAGTATCATTACTCACCCTGTGAATTGGGCAGATCGGCCACATACAAAGACGGAAGGGTCAGCGCCAAAGCACAAGGACCAACATCAGCTTTATCGACTGTCGGGACATTTGAAGGCTATATGAAGAAGTGGATTATATCTCTGGCTGCGATGACAGACCCACTGTTCCCAGATGCTTTTAGCCACTTCTATCATGGATGCTGGTCTTGCATTGGGTACGCGGAGTGTGATAAGGGCACCAGCCAATAACCTCCCGGTTGATCCATGCTAGTCCCCGAAGAGTTTGCTACTAGGCAATTAGAGGAAGGCCGAACACAGCCCAAGAAAATGCAAGGGATCACAGGCCACCAGCGCTGATCCGCCATCTGGCCTGTGTTTAGTTTTTCCGACCGCGATCTTCCCTCTCAATCTCGGCATGCGCGGCTTATCCTGGTGAGTTGAGCCCCGTGGCTATTCAACCCCCACTTCGGGCTCATTGCAAATCTCTTATTCTTAATTCGTCGTCATGGTTATGCAGATACTGCCGGCCTTCATATTCAGCTCCAGGTGAATGACCTGTCAGCCCGCCCGTATCCTGGGTACACCATGGCTTGTTCTGCATTTAACTCGTGGGGCGCCCTTGACTATCCCCTCGCGTGCGTACACTGATAAAGTGGATGCTGTGGATTGTCTAGTCGGAGAATACATGGAACCCTTAAAATCCTCTGAATTCGGGTCCTTTCGGGCTCACGTACATCCTGCAAAACATGGAGCATGGCGGAATGTACTCCATGGCATGGGAATCGCTGTAGTAACTTTGGCGGGTCTTGGGTGGTGGACGTCACGTCTCTATACTGGAGCGCATACTGATATTATCATCCAGTCGGAGTTTAGCTGGGATCAGGTGAGAGAACTTGCATTTATCACCAGAGGTGTCTAACCGGTAAAGATAACTCCTTCGCAATCACTTGTGTACCATGACTGCTTCGATGGGTTCCAATGCGCCCGTCTTGAAGTCCCCATGGACTACAACCGGTCTGATGGTCAAGGACGGCGCTTCGCGATCGCCATTACTCGTCTTCCAGCTAAGGTTCCGGTGACAGATTCCCGCTATGGTGGCGCGGTTTTGACAAACCCAGGTACGTTTCAAGATGTCTATGTCATTTTGCCCTTACTAATTGCGTCTCAGGTGGCCCGGGTGGCTCAGGCGTCGCCCAGGTGCTTGTCAGCGGCAAAGCCCTGCAAAAGACCGTAGACTCGGAGAACGACCCAGGTATTGTCGATCCAGAAAGCGCTTCGCGGGACAAGTATTTTGATATCATCGGATTTGATCCCCGGGGTGTCAACAACACGACTCCAGGGTTCAGCTGCTTCCCCCATCTCTTCGCTCAGCGAAACTGGGAACTGCAAGTGGCAGCCGAAGGCACACTCGGTAGCGCAGAGGACGCATTCTGGCATAACTGGGCTCGCTCGACTGCCCTCAATACTGGATGTGCTGCCAATTTGTCCACTCCTCCGAGAGATGGAGAGGAGGCTTTGGGCGAACATCTCAACACGCCCCCTGTGGCTAGAGATATGCTAGAGATCGTTGAACGACACGGTGAATGGCGTGCAGAGCAAGGCTTGCTGGAGCAACGCCAACAGGACCATATGCATGGCTATGATCCGGGACAGAGTATAGTAGCGCGAACACGATGGCAGCAGGGACGGGAGAAGCTCCTGTACTGGGGTCGGTCGTACGGAACCGTTCTAGGTTCCACGTTTGCAACTATGTTTCCCGATCGTATTCATCGGGCTGTGCTTGATGCTGTGGTAGATGTCGATAAGTACTACTTCGGGGAAGGGCCCAATGCTGTCGAAGACGCTGACGCCATTTTCGACCAATTCACGCGATACTGTCATGCGGCTGGAGGGGATGTCTGCCCCTTCTATGTCCAAGGCGGACCGGCTGCCATCAAGAAAGCGTATTTGGCACTGGAAGAGGCTCTCTACAATCGCTCATTACCGGTTCCCGCATCAGCTACACGAGGTCCGGAAGTCGTGACATGGAGTGATCTGAAGATCATCTTGCGAATCGCTTTGTATCAACCACTTTACGGATTTCCTCAGCTGGCAGAAATAGCGACCGAATTATCTCTGGGCAGTGGTGCCGCCCTTGCCGACTTCAAAGTTGGGGGCCGCTCCCCATCATGCCCTTCCGATCAATGCCTTCAAGCTGGGCCGTGGTCTGCTGAGTGTCAAGTGTCGGGCCACAATGAGGCGTATTCGAGCACAGCCATTCTTTGTGCCGATGCGGAGTATTTGCAGGATGCCGACGAAGAAGAGTTCAAGCGCTCCTGGGCGTCGTTGCAGGAAGATAGTGCCATGCTTGGGGATTATTGGGCCAGTCTTCTGATGAGCTGCGTAGGGTGGAAGCTCAAGCCGAAGTGGAAGCTTACAGGTAGTGTCTCATTGATCTGGATCGTTCATTGCTGATTTTTTTTTCAGGGCCATTTGCAGCCAACACCTCCCATCCACTGCTGTTTGTGAGCAATACGCTCGACCCAGTGACGCCTCTGCGCAGGTAGTTTTCATACTTTCTCAGCAATTTGTCATCAGGGCTAATCTTTTGCAGTGCGCGCAAGATGTCCGAAAACTTCCCCGGCTCGGTGCTTCTGCAGCAGGATTCCGAAGGCGTAAGTGACCTCGCATGTCGAGCGTGAACAGGCGATCTGACTTTCTAGCACTCAACATTGGCGGCACCGTCCGTGTGTGTTCATAGGAAGATCCGACAATATTTTCAGACAGGCGAGCTTCCGCCTCCTGGTGTAGTATGCAAGGCAGATGTTAAGCCCATACTGGGAGCGTCGCCTTCGACACAAGAGGGGGGGATGAGTTCCGAGGACCAGAAGCTGTATGAGGCACTGATCGAGGACGCGAAGCGAGTGGCAATAGCCCGGCTACCACTGTAGACTTGGCATCACGGCGTCAATGTGTCTGTTTTCTCGCGCGACTTGTCTATCCAACACCCGGCTCCGAGTGTATATACCAGTAGACCATCCTCCAGCAGGGTAGTGAATAGATATTTCCACCGGCTGTATAACCGATCACATTCGTAGATCCATCGCAAGCCAGGTGTTTCCAAATCCAGGCACTTCCGGAGTAGCCATGAAGCAAATTCGGTCGAGATCCCATTGCCATGCGGTGCAACCTCGGTTCAGATCCGTCGGGTAACCTTGATTGCCCTGTTTTGGTTCAACCCCGCGCCTGTCAGATAAGCATATCTCCTCTTCGTCTCCCCTCATCCTCTTCCTCCCCTCTTCACCATCAGACCCCTGCATTAATTGTCATCCGCCCAAGTTGATTCAATCTTATGCCCACATCCATCATGGCCCCTCCCACCGCCACCGAAACAACAATCTTCTCTCCCGTTCCCGTCCAAACCCATTCCACCCAAGAAGCGGCTGCCGAAGCCGCCAAAGTGAAGAACACCCCCCAGAAATTTCCCCAGCCCCCAGTCTTCGAAGACAAGTACAAGGAGCGCGAGTACCTTAAGGGTCGACTGGCAGCGGCGTTTCGCATTTTCGGCAAGAATGGCTACGATGAAGGTGTGCCATCATCACCATCCCTACTACTTACTTTCCGATTGGCACATAATACTAACTTCTGTTGCAGGCGTGGCAGGACACATTACTCTCCGTGACCCCGTCGATCCAACCACCTTCTGGGTGAACCCCTTTGGCGTAGCATTCTCGCAGATTAAATCATCTGACTTGATCCATGTGAGCCATGCCGGGGAAATCATTGGCGGCGGACCCGTGCGGCTGCTTAATGCTGCTGCGTTTATGATTCACTCGGCCATTCATGCTGCTCGTCCGGACGTGCTCTGCGCTGCTCACAGCCACAGTATTCACGGACGAGCTTTCTGTACCCTCGGACGGCCGCTGGATATCATCACGCAGGATGCGTGCGCATTCTACAATGTCAGTGCCTCCCTCCAGCAATGGAACTCTCGACTAACTAGCGCAGGATATCGTCTTATACAACCAGTTCAACGGCATCGTCCTGGCCGAAGAAGAAGGGAAGAGCATTGCTCAAGCCCTCGGCAACAAGAAAGCCGCACTGCTGCAGAACCACGGACTCCTAACCGTAGGACGAACCATCGAGGAGACGGTGTTCTGGTTCGTCAGTCTGGAGAAATGCTGCTACGTGCAGCTGATGGCCGACGCCGCAGCCGCAGGCCGGGGCGGACAGACCGTCAAGGTAGACGAGGCAGATGCAGCATTCACATACAAGTCAGTGGGCACACCCAGGGCAGGGTATTTCAGCGCGAAGCCAATGTTCGATTTGATCCACGAGGAGACAGGGGGAAGCTATCTGAACTAGCAGCTACACCACTCATCATATACTATTCTATTCAATCCAAATCCATCCTCCCACAATACCATTCACTCCCCCTTCCCCATTCTCTCCCACACCTCCCTCACCTCCCTCCCATTAACAGCCGTGATCGGCTCCCCGACAACCCTCCCATCCTCCCCAACTACCCTCAAAATATTCTCCATCGCCAACCTCTCAAACCCAATCCTCGTCTCAACCGCCCCACCCCCAACATGCGTCGTAAGCGTAACATTCTCCATCTCCCTCAGTCTACCATCAACAACGGGCTCAAACTCATTGAACATCCAACGCCGCAGCAGCCACCTTCCCACTCCTCAACCCCTGCACCAAATCCTCCTCAACCACCACTCCCCCCCTCGCCACATTAACAACCCTCACCCCATCCTTCATCCACCCAATCTTCTCCTTATCAATCAACCCCCTGGTCCCCTCAGTCAACGGACAATGCACCGACACACAATCTGCCTCCTCCAACACCCCCCTAATCCCTCCCCCCCATCTCACCCCCAATTCCCTCTCCCTCTCCTCACTCAACCGTACCGCATCATAATAAACAACCTCCATCCCTAACCCACCCCTCACCTTCCTCACCACCTCACTCCCGATCCTCCCCAGTCCAATCAACCCCAGAACCTTCCCCCTGGGATTCGTCGACACCCCCGCTAGATTCCGATGACATTCTAGAAACTTCTCCGTATCGCCCGACCGCGCCGCGATCTGCGATGCAGTGAAGTTTCTAAACACGCTGAGGATCATGTATAGTGTTGTGTCGGCGACGGCTTCGTCGGAGGCGCCCGCCCCGTTGGTGTAGTATATTCCGCGCGCGGTGAGCGAGGGTATGGAGATGTCGTTGTAGCCTGCTCCCGCTGAGGCGAAGATTTTGACGCTGGGAGGCAGGAGGGAGACCAGGTCGGCGTCCCAGGGGGACATGGTCGTGCCGGAGGAGAAGTGTGGGCGGAAGATGGCGACGAAGGGGCCGTATCTGGGGTATTTCTTAGTGTGTGTGGAGATGAATGAAAGGGGAAGAGGTCTTACTTGTTGGTTTTCAGCGCCTCGATGAATGCATCGCGGGTCGGGGAGGTGTCGCGGATGATGGTGAAGCGGGTGGAGAGGGGGCCGTTGTAGAGGTCGTGGTTGTAGGCGATGGGGTCGCCGAGGTGGAGGATTATGGGCTTGGTCATGTTGTTTGGTTGGTAGTAAGTAGTTAGTAGTGATGATGATGTTGTAGGCAAAGGGTGAGAGTAGAAGGGATGGGATTGTGGAGTGTTACTATGAAGGATAGTATATTTATGAAGATATAGTCTGCGGATAATTCTCCGATTCAACTCGGACTTGTTTCCTAGACGATGATCCTGAGGATTGAGGAGGGATGTTTACCCCGATTTGGTTCTTTTAGTGGAGAGTGGAGATCCATGTGCTCGGGCTTAAGATGTACCTCTGTGTCTGTGTGCAGGTTTATGTCTTATCCCAGCTAGCTGGTATACCTTCCATTGTCTTTCATCTCACCTCCGTCAATCCCACCCGTACTTCCCTCAGCATTACAGACGCAGGCATACTATCCCCGATGACCTAGACGTTGCGCCGCGCAGTAAGCCGTTCAAAAACATTCTGCTTATATTTTTGCTGTGTAGATTCGCAAGGCCGAGTACCGGGACAGATATTGCAATAAAAAGGGGTATACACATTGTTCTGGTCACTAGCAAGTCCAAGCGAGGGTGAGTCGCTACTTATCAGGGCCATCATGACAAAAGGTTAGTTAAAGGCATTCTGGAATATCCGATATTATTGGAGATCATTTGAATCTGAGTCAGTGTTGAGACGTGCCAAATGCTTCATCAGTAGCGCTTACCAGCATTCAATCCTGGGAACTTCCTTGAGTGGACGGACTATCATATTTGTGATGTTTAGGAACTAATTCATTCAACATATAGATCTCTCGATATCCTCCTCTTCGACCATATGTAGCTATAGATGTTGAATAATCCAGACAACGATTGTTCAGAAACGCACTCGACTCGACCATGTCCTCTAGTGTCTGGATAGGGTCATCATTGGCTGGCTGTTTCATGGTTGCAACATAGACACTGGTGAGGGGTTTCCTAGCCATGCTGCTAAGATCTTCTCTGCAACTATATTGTGGACTGATTTTGTTGTTCCAATGTGTACGATAGAAGAAGGTAAGCAAGCTCCCACGGAGCTAAAGCGTATCGGACAAGGAGCTCGGCCGAGATTACTGCAAGGGTGGATAATCGCGATGAACATTCAGGCCACATTGGCTGTGGAGGGAAGTCTACTTAATGGTAATAGATAGTCGAGATACGTAGTCCGGTGGTGACTGGAGTGTGGTAAAGTAATGTTAATAGAGACGAGCATTCTCCAGACTGGGACATTACCCATTCATCAGCGGTTTATTCCTGAAATAGGTGAGTACTAAGACACAAGCAGGCAAACAATCAACAAATCAAGGTAATAATCTTGATGAAGCAGAGATGCGACCGCGTCTATGGCTGCTTGTTGAGCGGAGCCCCCGATCGATGAGAAGCGGGAAGGGAGAAAAGGAAAAAAGCAAAAAGAATGACCTACGCAGGACTCGAACCTGCAATCTCTTGATCCGTAGTCAAGCGCCTTACCATTGGGCCAGCAGGCCTTTTTGTTGCGATTACAGCTACTAAATGTTTATATAAGGACTTACATATCTATAGACTTCCAAGCGTGCTCATGACGCCTGTGAAACTTGTTAGACACAAGAGTGTCCATCGGTCGGGGGTTGCAACTGTTCGGGTCAGTTATCTACTACTACCTTTTATTGGCTTCTCCCATGCTATTTTCATTATCTATGGGCGGTTACGGTCCCAGCAACCGCCACGACCTGGTAGTCTACAGAACAAATGATCAGCACTAAGCAGATATATACACCAAAGCGTAGCCTAAATCCAGACCCCAGCAGTTGAACAGTCCGTGGCAAACATGCATCGAAATTAGGTAGATACCGGCCCCTCCCCCTAGCCGAACTCCACCAGAAGTACCCACGAAGTACCTCTGCAGTACCGACTGACATGGCCACCCACCCAAGCACCACTCAAGGCAACAGTCCAGTCCAGTCTAGTCCAGCTCAGCTCAGCTCACTCAGCATTCAACCAACATTCCAGTGAGTGAAAGGATGGTGCGGGGGTGCCAAGGATCCGGGGGTTGATCATGCAACGACACCTTCACAGCCATTCCCAAACATTCTGACTGGTCACGCCGGGCGGGGTAGGCGAACTTTACTGCATCGCTAGACAAAGCCACCGCTGCATTACCATCCAATGATAGGATGATCAACCCCTCCATGACACTGTGTCGTCCTCACGGATGTCATCCCTAGTAACCGACTAGTACTGTAGTTACCTTGACCGGATGGGTCGGAGGATGGCGACGAAAGGAAACTTAAAAACGAGAGAATCTGGGGTAGTTGTTATGGCCCACTTTTGCCATGACGGGTACTGCTACTAGGTACCCATGGAGGTCCGTAGTGGGTGCTTAAGCTCCTGTTGTGGGGTTTGTAGTATGGACATACTAGTGGTTATCGTTGATAAGAGGGTAGCTAGGTAAATATTCGCGATGAAAAGACTCAACATCGCAAAGTAGGGGATAAGTAAGTAGATGAATGTGATCAGACCACGCCGACTGAATGAATGTACTTCATAGGTAGTACTGTGGTATGGTATGGCTTGAGGGCAGCCGCTGACGCAGCGTGGTGTGATCCAATGGGTTTGAGGTAGATTACTTACTGTACTAATGGACTGACTGCGCTGGTTACTGACTACTACCTATTCACGGCCAATCCCTGTCGCGTGTGCTGCATTATTGTGCAGCTGGTATTAATACACACGGCAGGCAGGCAGCCAAAGGACACACACACACAGAGAGAGAGAGAGAGAGAGGATGATCACACGAGTGCCACCCCTGACCAGGTAGGCTAATGAAAAGACACGACAGGGATTAGAATGTCTGCCCCTCACTAATAATGCATCAAGCTGTTGTATTTGTTTCTTGTATTTATGGTCATTCCTTGGTGTGTGTATGTTTGTGTGTTTGTTAAATACATGATGATATTGGCCCAGTGCAACCCAAAACGCGTAAAACTCCGTCATGTCATGATCCCTCCTTGTTGCATATCCCATCCCGTCCGTCCAAAGTACCTGACCCCAGAGGGTAATCCCCCCCCCCCCCCCCAAAAAAAAATGGAAAAAGAAAATGATGTGAAATGAATGGTCGGTAAATAATAATGAGGATGTAGATCGCTGTCTCAGACAAATCCCCCTCCTCTATTCCAGTTGCATAGCTTGCGGTAGCCAGACTCGCTCGCTCACGGAGAGGGGGGGATTTATTTCAAGCGACGCATGTAGCGTAGCGTCAGATAAACCGCGCCCATCGTCGTGTAGGCTGCGCCCCCTGCAGCAATCCAGACCGGCTTGTGAACGCTAAACGAGGTCGAGATGAGCTGTGCCCTCCTCCTGCGCTTCTCTAAATGGGCTATTAGAATGCTTTTCTTCTTACCATACTCCATCTGCAATGATGGAAGACCTACCTGTAGTCAAGAATCTGTTTCTCAAAGTGGCCAGCTGCTGTCTGGAGTATGCACCGACAGACGAGCCCACAGACGAGAGACCTTGGATAGCAGGGGTCGACATCTTGAATAGTTGATGTGCTTGTAGTATCTTGAGTGGAAAAGTAGTTACAGCAAGAGACAATGAGAGAACAAAATCTTGATCCTGATATTGATGAGAACACAGGCGAGTTTGAAGGTGTCGCCCTCCATTGTCTGGCCGGGTGACACAAGGTTTATATGCTCTTCCTCGTAACCCGGATGCGGGGTAGTCACCAGATGAGAAGCTGCAACACAGTAACAGCTGGCTCGACCTCTCGTCATCCCTGTCTTTGTTGATCCGTGTCTCGTAGGTTACATTCTGGAGGGTGGTGATTGGAGCTCATCGTTGGGCCTGCCCGGTGTTGGCGCTCTCTCGCCCCTGGAACGGGCGTGAGCTATCACCAAGTACGGCATGCAATACCGACCAAGCGATCGAGTACATCACAGGTACATCTACCGCAGACTGGGCGCTCTTCGTCGTGATAGGATATTCTCCATATGGGCTGGGATGAGGGTGGCGTTGTCAGTAATTTAGGGCCTCGCTGCTGCAGCCCAAGCAAGAAGTACCGTGAAGAACAGTCTTGTAGTTCTACAGATCAGTCTATACCAAGTAGGGACTTTATGGTTGCTGACTGGCACTGACGAAAGAAACCATAATTGTCTGATTGAGTTTAATATATGACACCGACAAGTTGATTCTGTAGACATCGGTAGATTCACTTGCCGGTTTCATGAGAGCCGTTGAGTACCATGAACAGAGTCAGGCCGTAAGTTTGACCATGCCATGGCAGCAATGCTTGCATCTGGCCTACGGTAGGGTATGTTCTTCCGCGATAAATGCAGACAAATTGACGACCTCCGCGCGTGCAGATGGCCTGATGAGGGAAGCTCCCAGTGTAGACCCTTTCCTATTGTGTAGATGTACAAAGCCCACGACGATCACTTTGAATGGGACCATGTATGGCAACTGCGTCGGCGGAATTAACAACATGCAAGTGGTGTTATTCACTCCAGTTCAGCTCCTTCCCCGCAATTGCAATCCCATTGCACGCTGACGTCTTCAGTTATGCAAGGATGGAAATCGGATTCCCATGTGTAATTTATGCCGTCATTTGGCTGTATGTTACCTAGCAGACGGCTCTCAGCTAGGATTACCTCCTCGGATTCATCAGAAAGGAAGTAAGCGGCTGGAATTCACTCCCACAAAAAAGGCTTATCCATGTGGCGGCATTTTTAAGTGCCACAAAATGTTGGGGAGACTTGGACCCGCGAACCAACGGGGGCAAGCTGTAATTTCTTTCACTTTCCATAGAGGTCGTCTGGCAGTTCTAACGCCTCGCACATGACTGGAGTATATTGATCGTGTGCAAGACATATAATGTATTTGCGATAGAAGTGTATGGATGTATTCATGGTGAATGAGCGACTGGACCACACTTTGCAGTATTGTAAGTACGCTTGCGTGCGACAAGCAGACAAGCAACGACGAGGTAAGTCAGAAAGGAGAGTTTAAACAGCCTCATATTGACAGTGATCGAAGCCATGCACTCGAATATCAGTAATGGGACGAAGTAAACTCAGAAATCTGGATTAGCTGCAAATACAGGGGTCCACTTCAATATCTACCATCCTTTCTGGGTGTAAAACAATGGTTCCTTGCATCTATCGTAATTGCTGCATATAGTACAGTGTGATCTGTGAGAAGGCGCAAACCAACGCCCATTAGGCATCTTCAATGCTCAATGTTCGAATATCAAGTCCATCACTGGCCTGGTGGGCCTCCGCCAAACCGCCGATAAGATAGCCTTCACGTGACCGCAATCCGCGTTTTGAAACAAAGTTTGGCCGACCGTCAATCTTCCCTTCTCGCACATCATGGCTGCCCCGCCAAATGTGAGAACTCACACAAAAATAGCAGGCACCCCCGACTATGATGACCCAACCTTCTGGGATACGAAGTTTGCCACTGGTCGGGATGTCGGGGAGTGGCTGAATTCGGGAGAAATGCTCATCGATGCGGTAGTTTCTCACCTGGAGAGCCGCTCGGCAACGAACCCAAGAGTGCTCCATCTGGGGCCAGGCATCTCGAAGCTAGGAATTAAACTTTGCGATGAATTCATGAAGCGCAATTGGGCCGGAAATGGAATCGTGGTATGTGCTTGACGTGATGGCGCAGTAGAGCCATTGGGACAATACTTACTCATCTTCTCGACAGAATGTTGACTTTTCCGCCGAAGCCGTTCGCCTTGGACAAGAGACCGAGAGCAATAGGGATCCATCACATGCGATGGGCTGGGTGCAAGCTAACTTGCGGTCCTGGGCTGATGTCTCTAGATTAGCTCCTTTCTCGCCCTTCGATGTGGTTCTCGACAAAAGCACAAGCGATGCGATTGCAACATCAACGCCCGTTACCTTCCCTTCGCCCGCCGACGCATCGAGTACATGCCCGATGGTACAAGAGATTGTGGATAAACATGGGGCGATAGAGTTGTCGCCTGTAGAGCTGTTGGCGCTACACTTGGCACCCTTGGTGCAGAAAGGGGCCCTCTGGGTCACTCTTTCCTACTCGACTATGCGCTTCGATAACCTGTCTCATATGGCCCAATACTGGACTGTTGTTTCCCGGACACCTTTCAAAGCACCCCAAGGAGAGACTTCGTCATTTGCTTACGCGCCTGAGGTTTTCCACTGGATGTATATTCTCCAACGGAAGTGAGATCCACTACACAAAATTATGATTTGCGACTATAAATAGCTCGGACTACTGGACAATGGCACGAACTAGCCCCCGACAATAGGAATCGGTTACCTACATCACGGAGCCATCAATAACGCAGCGCGCGACCGATTGAAGTTGGACGCAGGAGTGTTGGCATACATAGTAAGTCAGGTGTTCACCGCTGAGCTCCTTTATGTCACCTTCAGGCGATTCGTAGAAGACAGGTCTATCTTGTAAAAGCCGAAAGCTGGGGCTTCACTCCATTGCGAGCAACAGTTGCCCACTTTATAGTAGCATTTTGCAAAGTTCGCCAACAATTACTCTATGATGACGGCAATCTAGAGTATGTATTGCGCCCAACTCATAGACTCCTAGAAAATCCGTTGGCTGAAGCCGAAGCACACTTGAAGATTGCAACGAGGCTTAATAAACCATTAATGTGGCAGAGTGATTTTGACTTGTGTAAATAACTATTACGACTGGTAAATGCTATCATGTGAGTCGAGGTCACGCGGTGGATCACAAACGTAGCAGACAGTTTCGCGTCCAATTTCTCAAAGCCACATATTCGATTATGGTGGACAGTTGCTATTGCAAATTTCAGTTCGCGCGAGCCAATTCCTCCTTCTCAGCACGATCAAGCAGTCCCAGAGCTTCCCTTCGAGTCGGAGCATTGGGATCAAAGAAAGGCTTCTCCGCAAGGGCCGTCACTCTGGTACCATGTCTAGGCTCGGAACCTTCATAGTCCCAGCTGGCGTTGTGGATGGTAATACTGCCATACGTCAGATGCATTCAAGGCCTTATTGGATGCAAAGTAACTGACCGGTTATCCCATAGCGCGCTTGTTCCAGGACTCCATTTGAAGCGAACCTGGATGTCAATGTTCTTTTCATATACGTCGCACAAATACCCCAGGATAACATCACTCTCCGCCTTGTCGAGACCAACAATGCGGTCGGTCATGGCTCGGTTCACCCACAGCGCTTTCCAACCCGTGGCAGGGTGAACGCGAACAAGGGGATGCTCACGTTCGACGTACTTTGGGCCTTCTTCGGGGTGGTTGCGATCAAGGTACGGGTGGGCGGATCGGTAGATGGCAGTTTTACCGTCGATTATCTTACGAAAAGCAGGCGACAGCTTCTCATAAGCCGCATAGCCACTGGCCCAGAGCGTGTCTCCGCCGATGCTGGGGATGGTGTCATTATGTAAATGGGTTACACCTGCAGGTTGACGTTCGTGTACAAGATCAGTGTGCCAACGTGAGGCTCCTCCAGGGCGGCGGAAGTTGGCAGGAGACTCCGTTGCCTGCAGAGCTGGCCAAATGACCGTCACCCCCGCGACGCCAGGCACTTGGGGAACTTGTGGCTGGACAAGGACGAGACCATCAGTCAGCGAGTCCGTTATTTACTGACATGGAGAAGCATAGTGGGCTTACATGGACCTCGATCTCGCCAAACCATTCGCCAAGCTCTTTCTGCTGCTGGGGAGAGATATCCTGGTCTCTGAAGAAGACAACGCTACGTTCAGCGATCAGCAAGCCCAGCTCATCCTTCTGCTGGTCCGTTAGGTCTTTCAATTGCAGTCCCACAATTTCCGTGCCAATGTGTCTGGTCAGATGGATGACCTCTTTTGCTGCCGACAATAGCGCTTTCTTTTCTGGGTCCGCACGGGTGCCTGGATCCACATGGGGCCGGTCATAATCGCGGATCTTGTAGACGTCGTCTAGATACAAAGGACGAGACGGCCTGTAAGGGTATCCCTCAGACAGGTCTACTCCCGCCTTCTCGAGGCGCTTTCGGGATGCTGGTGGAAGCGGAAGCGTTTGCTTCAAAGGTTCCGCAACATCAACTATTCTGGGGTCAATAGGAGCTGGAGCCATGATGATCAATTGAGCTATGAATCTGACTATAGAATCTGTCTTATCTGGTTCTACAGCGCTCAAGCGAGATATTTCTATGCGGAGCTCATTGCGTACCAAGATTATTTCCCCTCACCATCATTGTCGTGGTACGGGATCCGATCACATCATCACCATCCATCATTGCGCCTTCTGCATCCCACCACCCAGAGAATGGCAGATTAAACGGCTGTCGCGGCATCTCCTCGCCTGAACCCCTCTTTTCTGCTGAGTATGCTCTCCGTCGATGACTTCTTATCTCCGTTTACCCCAGTGGACAAGCCTGGCCATCCATTAACGGGGTCTTCGGAGAGCATCATTCAGGGATTCGATGGCCTCATCCCCTCTTCATGATTATTGATAAGCAACAGAAGGACCACACGCAGCAGGTTACTCCTCGCTTGGTGGTCCGCTTTGGAACTGAGTTATCGCTAGTGGCTCGTTTCGAGCTGTCTCAGATATGACAGGCTGCAGGCTGGTCCTCGCCTAGTAGCGTTGCTATTACACCACACTTGACTAACATAACGATATCATCTGGCGCCATGTTTCTTCGCAATCCATTGGGAACATATGAGACGGCTCGATCTCACTAGATGTCTCTTATGCTTTACCATTGTGCTTTGAGTGGGACGGTATAACCAACAACCATCATGACTCGTGAAATCCAGCAAGTGGCCGTGATCGGTGCTGGCATTAGTGGTGTTGTCTCCGCGGCCCACCTTCTTGCGCACGGGATCGACGTCACTGTCTTTGAACGGAATCATGCAGCAGGTGGCGTTTGGTAATCCCTCCTTGTGCTGTGGTTTTGTCGAGAATCCGGGATCTAACGACCGACCCAGGCTTCACGATGAAAGAAAACCACTCGAACCTAATTACCCGGCCATAAAGCCGTCCATCTCAGAGAGACATCGAGAGGAGGACCGTAGACATGCCGATGCATTATTATTGGAGCACGCTCCACCAGGGTGCGTATCTTTATCTGTTTCTCCGCACGACTGCTTACAATATTAGACCATGCTATGATGGACTCAAAAACAATGTGGCCACATCGCTGATGCGGGTCAAACTCAATGCCTGGCCGAAAGGAACACCGGAGTTTGTCAGCCATACGGTAATGAAGGAGTACATCCAGGATACGTCGAAGAAAGCCGGTGCCGAAAGCGTTACAATATACGGAGCTCGAGTGACCAGGTTGCGCAAGATTGATCGCAAATGGGACGTTACGTGGACGACCTTGAAGAAAACCACACAATCGGGAACATTTGAGGAACAGGAGGAAACTGCTGTAAGGCAAATTACTTCAGGATGAAGACACTACTGACTCTTGTGTGAATAGAAATTCGATGCGGTAATAGTCGCTTCAGGCCACTATCATGCGCCTCGGGTTCCAGATACACCTGGGCTGTCCAAAGCGAAAGCACAGTGGCCGTCGCGCATAACTCACTCGAAGGGGTACAGAAGCCCGAACCCTTACGCTGGCAAGGTATGAAACTTATCTTGTCCTCAATACCCAGGACCTGAGGAAATAATAACAATATTCAGAACGTCTTGCTCATTGGAGGCGGGGTATCCTCAACGGATCTTGCTCGAGAAATCGGTCCCTTGGCCAAGAACGTCTACCAAAGCACGCGGAACGGTGAATTCGATATCTCTGCCAGTGTCCTTCCGGAGAATGGTACAAGAATCAGTGAGATAGAACGATTCGAAATCGAGGCAAAGGCTGCTACAGATGATGAGGCTTTGCCGATCAAGGTACACCTGAAGTCAGGGCAGACGCTTTGTGGAATTGATGCGATCATCATCTGTACCGGATACCATATCACGCTGCCTTTTCTGCCGGAATATCACGACGATGCAACACCAGCGGAGCGAGCAAGTGATACAGTCTTAGTGACTGACGGGACGCAGGTGCATAACTTGCACAAAGACATCTTCTACATCCCGGATCCAACCTTGGCATTTGTGGGAGTCCCATACTACACAGCGACGTTTACGCTGTTTGAATTTCAAGCAATAGCTGTAGCGAACGTTTTTGCCGGGATTGCGGAGCTACCAGCGGAGAGTGCGATGAAAGACGAATACACCCGTAAAATCGAAGAGAAGGGTAGTGGCAAGCGCTTCCACTCTCTGAAGGATATTGAAGAATTTTACGTGATTGACCTGTTGGAGTGGATCAATGGATACAGAGCTAAGCATGGTCTCTCCGCGATCGAAGCCCACTCAGACAGTTGGCATCTAGCGAAAGCCGAGCAGAGGGAGAGAGTTAAGGTGCTACTGGGGACTGGCCGGAGACGAGACAGCGGCATCGGGGAGCTTCCGGTGTTGGAGGTATGCAGCTAGACAAGCTATAGACCAGTTCGCATTTTAGTGTAGATGGCACAATTAGACACAGACATTGCTACTACATTAGAGCACCAAATACAAGCTTATCAGGCGAGATCGGCACCGTCATCAGGGCATTAATTATAATAGCCGGCCGGCATCGCACGTCCATGCACAGGGCACATCATCCGAGATCTGGATGACGAGCTCCGGAGCGTGCATGAGCAACCACTCATCCTTCGCGGACCCGACATGATTCAATACCCCCGCACACCGGCAGACACGATCGTTATCTTTCCTTCTCATCATTGCATCTGACAGGATCAACCCCGCAGATATTGCGTGAATGCGGTGGATGATGATGCATTGGTCTGGATGGTCCTCCGCCCATCAGATATCGCGTCCAAACCATCTGCATCAAGCCTTGCTACCAAGCTTGAAACAGGGATAAATATGTGCGGCTATCATGTGAATCTATATGCAATGCAGCGGACTGTCAAAAATTTACTGTACTCTCTCTGTCCTGCTCTGCCTCCGCCTACTCTGCCGGTCTCCGTGAATTTAAATCAAGACCGGAGTAACCATGGCTCCATCGCCAACTACGGTTGAAGAAAGAGCAGTTGACACATCCAGTGGAATTGTCCAACAAAATCCAAAGCGGAGATGGGTTAGCTACATCTGGGATACATTCGACAAGTCTCCCGAGGAGCGCAGACTGCTCTTCAAGCTGGACACAGCTATCCTAACATTTGCATCGCTAGGTAGGCGACAGTTCCATTGCTCCAGCTACATCCAAACATTCTGCTAATATTGAAAATGAAAAAGGCTACTTTATCAAGTATCTCGACCAAGTCAACATAAACAATGCCTTCGTTTCCGGAATGTTCGTGTCCCAAAACTCAACCATACTCAACTCCCATTGACAAACCACAGGAAGGAAGACCTTGGCTTATACGGCAACCAGCTCAACTACATGCAGGCGTGCTGGACAGTGGGCTATGTGATTGGTGAAATCCCAAGTAACATGCTTCTGACACGCATACGGCCTAGATACTGGATTCCGGCCATGGAGGTGTGCTTGGCCCATTGACATAAGAAATCCAAGCTGATCATGTCTAGTTGCTATGGACAGTCCTTACGTTCGCCTTGTCGCGGAGTACCAATGCGACGCACTTTTATGTCTTGCGCTTTTTCATCGGTATGAGATCTCCCTCCTCATTCTATCTTTAACTAACGCAACCAGGCCTTGCCGAGAGTAGTTTCTACCCCGGAATGCAGTACATCATCGGTTCGTGGTATCGAAAAGACGAGCTCGCAAAGCGATCATGTATCTTCCACACCAGCAGTGGAATTGCGAGTATGTTCTCTGGGTACCTGATGGACGCAGTGTATCATCTTGGAGGACGGGGAGGATTGAAGGGCTGGCAATGGTATGTTCAGATCAGACCACTTTTTTCAAGCAACTAACAGAATAGGCTCTTCATGATCGATGGAATTATATCAATTCCAGTGGCTCTTAGCGGCTTCTTCATTTTGCCGGATGTTCCTGAAATCTCGAGTCCGTTTTACCTCAGCGAGCAGGAAGTAAAGTTGGCGCAGAAACGGATGCAATTTGAAGGACGGAAGAACAGAGAGCCATATACCAAGTCGAAACTGAAGAAGATCTTCTCTTCTTGGCGCATCTACTTGCTCACAATCGTATACATGTGTGTTCGCAACCCCGTCTCCGTCAATGAACATGCCAAGCTAACCAATGCCTAGCACATTTAACAACGGCGCAGCAGGCAGTCAACCTGTCTTTCAACAGTACGTTCCACACCTCAAGACACTCCGAACTACAACTAAATCTATCTTAACAGATACCTCAAAGACTCCACCAACCCCAAATACTCCGTTGGCCAAATCAACGCCTACCCGACCACCACAAACGCGGTGCAGGTCGTCACAACCCTCATCTACGCATGTATGCACCCTTGCCCCACCCCAAGCACCACCATACTAAATATCTGACCAGGGACTTCCGACACAATCCTCCAAGGCCGCCGCTGGCCCTGCATCATCATCGGAGCGGTACGCCCACGCCCGCCCTTCCCCCTCACACCCCACTCACTACTAACTCACCAAAATCCAGTGTATAAACATAATCTGCTACGTCTCCCTCGCGATCTGGAACATCCCTACAGGCTGGAAATGGACCTGCTACATCCTCGCCGGCGCAGGCTACGGCCTGAGCGGACTATGCATGGCGTACGCCAACCCCTCCCCCCCGTCCCATCCCTCCATCCCTCGAAACTAACCTAATAAAATGTAAAGATGGGCCCACGAGATCTGCACCGACGACAATGAAGAGCGCGCGCTAGTCGTCGGCAGCATGAACGAAATGGCGTATGTGTTTCAAGCCTGGTTGCCGCTGGTGGTGTGGCAGCAGGTGGATGCACCGCAGTACCGGAAGGGGTTTATTACGGTGACGATTATGTCTGTGATTTTGATTATTTCGACGGTGGCGACGTGGAGGTTGCAGATTTGGGAGGGGGAGTAAAGGTATGTTGGTATTCTGTTTGCTGGGGTGAGTGATATGCTCATTGATTGTTTTCCGTGCAGGCCGAAAGTGGTTCAGGGTGAGGGGATGGAAGTTGAGAGAAGTGAGAGTGATTTGGGGGATACTAGTAGTAGTCATGATGGGCGTGTGGAAGGAGTAGATGGGGGGCAGGTAAGGAAGATTTAGTTACTACTGCGAGCAGTGGTATTTTACTTGGGTCATGACTGGTGCGTCATGTATATATTTCCAATCGCGGGGAGGTCGTGCTATAGATGTGTTGGAAGTTCGATACAGTACTACCGCTTTATAGTGGACACTAAAAACAATTGAGTTAATCTATTTGATATTAAGATGCGTGCTACTACTACTACTATTACTACTATTGGTTGGCATACTACATCAGCCTAAAAGATGCTATTGCCATGATTTGATATCGTTGTCTGGATTTGTGAGCAAATGGCAACATTATTTGACTTCAAAGACTCTAGGAGTATTTACGCCGTCAGAATTTGAAAGTTTACATGGTATACATCAAGAACAGATGAGGGGGGCTCATCGTGTAAGACATGTAGTATAAATTCCGCGAAGTGAGAGGGGGTCAATACTAAGAATTAGAGATGATAGTCAAGCAAGTGAAACACTATAGTGCTACGCGATGGACTACATTCAGAGAAGGTTTCAGCCGAATTTTATCTTTCTACAGATCTGGTCAAAGGAATGACTGGTTATTGAGTGATTAATGTACACAAGCGTCCAATCCATCACACCTTCATCCACAGTTGTTGTTGTTCCGGTCCACGCCGACACAATGGCATTGTCGATGTCCTCGGTGGAACTATTGCATCAGCGTCAGATGATTTGGAAGGTGTTTATTGTCGATCGAAGTCCAAGACTTTCGCAAGGACTTAGTAAGAAGCACCCGAGGGAGCGGCGGCGGGGGCACCCGAGGCAGCGGGAGCACCACCAGCAGCGCCAGAAGGAGCAGCACCGCCGAAAGAGCCGGAAGGAGAGGGGCCGTTTCCACCAGCGACGCCAGAGGGAGCAGCACCGTTACCACCGAAGGAGCCAGAGGGAGAGGGACCGTTGCCACCAGCGATGCCAGAGGGAGCAGCACCGCCGAAAGAGCCGGAAGGAGAGGGGCCGTTGCCGCCAGCGACGCCAGAGGGAGCAGCGCCGCCGAAAGAGCCGGAAGGAGAGGGGCCGTTGCCGCCAGCAACACCGGAGGGAGCAGCACCGTTACCACCGAAAGAGCTAGATCCAGAGCCCTGCTCAGAGGAGGAGCCCTGCTCGAAAGAGCCCTGAGATCCCTCAGAGTCAGATCCCTGGGACTGGAAGCCCTGGGACTGGGAGTCCTGAGACTGAGAGCCCTCGGACCTGGAGTTCTGGGACTTAGAGCTCTGAGACTTGGAGTCCTGGGACTGGCCCTGGGACTGGGGGTCCTGGCCGCCGAAGCCGCTCTGGCCCTGCTGGCCGCCAAAAGAGCCGGAGGGAGAGGGGCCGTTGCCACCAGCAATGCCAGAGGGAGCGGCACCGTTGCCGCCGAAAGAGCCAGACTGGCCTCCCTGGCCACCGAAAGATCCCGAAGGAGAGGGGCCGTCACCACCAGCAACGCCAGAAGGAGCGGCACCAGAGGGAGAGGGGCCGTCACCACCAGCAACGCCAGAAGGAGCGGCACCAGAGGGAGCGGGACCCGAAGGAGCACCACCGAAGTCACCTCCAGCAGCAGCGGAGCCGGTCGGGGCGGGGACGTTGGAGACGGAAGCCGGGATCTCGAGCTGACGCCTCTTGTGGCCACGAGGAGCTCCAGAAGGAGCAGGGGCAGCGGAGCCAGTGGGAGGAGGCTGAGGAGCATCGCCCAAGCTCACGGTGGGAGCCTGGCCCTGACCGTTAGAGTTGCCGAAGCCCTGGCCTCCGAAGCCCTGGCCCTGAGGAGCACCCGAGGGAAGGGGAAGAGGGGAGCCGGAGGGAGCAGCACCCTGGAAGGAGGGAGCTCCGGTGGCCTGAACACCGTTGGGAGCAGAGTCTTGCTGGGCGCCCATGGCCGGCAGGGCGGCAGCGTAACCGATAAGACCGGCGAAAGCGATTCCGGTGAACTTCATCTTGAAGGAATAGAGAGTGATGGAGTTGTAGTAGTAAGCAGAAAAAAAAGTAAGGCGAAATGAAGGTACGAAGCACAGCTTCTTAAGGAATGGTAGTTGAGATCAAAGGAAAGAGAATTTGAGCTGAATGAGGAATGATGCTGGCTGGGGCAAGAGAGGCTTTTATAAGGCGCTCTCCAAGCGCTGGGTCGGCAGTGACCCAGCGATGATGACCTCCATCCATCTGGTGAGATGCGTGGAAAGAACCAAGCATTCGTCATGCACTGTTGTCACCGAATTCGGCTCGCCTGCATCTGAGACGTCGACTGTCAGCAATAGATCAGGTTATGCTGGCCATGCAAGAACCGCACGGATCGGCAGACCCGGCGCTTGTGGGGGGTGGTAGAGTGGCTCAGGGGCAGGGCTGATGCAAAATAGGGTTTGAACGTACCTGCTGGGCTTCTGTGGGTCGGCTAAGCATGAAGCCGGTAGTTGGATCTGTGAGAAGGGAGTATGTAGGTAGAGGATGCTATTGATGAATAGGAAGAGAAGGGAAGAAGTCTGTCTGGCTGGCTGTCTGGCTGTCTGTGGCGGCCCCACGTGCGCGGCTCGCCCTGGAAGCAGTCACAGGCCAGCCGACACCCCAGCGTTTCATCTCTTCATCGCCTATTCAGAATAGCTGACTCGACTTTCCCTCTCCTTGGCCCCCCTGCCTCTTGGAGGTGGCTTGATCCTGGCTGCGGCTGTTGTTGGTGGTCTATTTGCGGTTCCGTCATGAGTCCCTTGGTAATGCTTCGTCTGGTTGTCTCTCTACCCATCGTCCACCCACACTCAGTGGACTCACTGGGAAAGCCTCAAAAAGTGCCTCAGATCGTCGGTGGATGAATTCAACTGGTTGATAATCTCTGTCCAATGGCAACCAGCGTGCCAGGGAGCTGACGTCCTCGATCAAGCTGTCCCCTGCCGCTGTGGCGGTTCCAAGTTGGTGGGTCAGCCCAGTCTCGACTCTCGACTCTGACAGTCGACAGGTCGTAGTGCTAACTAAGCGGAAGGCTAGTCAGCTCTGGTGTGTTCTTGGGGGCCCAACGATGGCGGGTCCTTGACTCTACGTTATTTGGGTGGGTCCATCTCGAGGAACAGAAGTTGTGGTCAGTGTCCTCTACGTGCAGCATAATCTTCTTCCGCTTACAGATCATCATGCAAGCTATGATCAGGACAACATGATAATCACTGTGGGGGAAAGTCATTCCTCTACCTGTACTTCCTATCCATCAGAAAAAGTCGTTATAATGAGGTCCTACATGATGCCCTCGCTGGGAACGTTGTAGCCGAACTCGGAATAGAGCTTTCCCCGTCAAAGTTGGGGGAGCCCACAAGGTGGATCCAAGAATAGGGGGAGTAACAGGAATGGGACCCTGAGGGGACCCTAGAGTAGGGTGGAAGTCTTCTCTGGCATCTGTCCATGCCGGGGTTTTGCTAGGCTATCCATGGTTTCCTGCATGGCAGAGTTGAAGGTGATGGATGGAATGGCCCAAGATGACGACAAATGGGGCCTGGACCAAGTCGTCACCATGCTAGCGAGCTACTCTGAATGAAACAAACGGCTGTCGGATTATGGCATCTGTTCGTTTCAAGCCTTCGATTTGATAGCGCGTTGGAGCAGCTGGCGTGGCCCTATGCAGATCCCCTGGGCTGCGTAAGCTGATTGGCCCCCCGTCTGCACGGCCCATTTATCCGATCGGGATGTTTCACTTTATCTTCGCACCCTCGCAGTCCCCTCCTAACTGGCGGTCCACCGGTCCTAAGTCGCTACCAGTCTCTGCGCGATCGGCAGGCTTGACGAAATCAGATAACTGACTCTCGACTCTCAATATTTGGCCTGACCGGCGTGGCTCCCACTGTCATAGAGGACTGCTCATTTGACCCCCGGGGCAAAGGATTGGGAGCGAGCCGGCGTCCCGCAGCGGACTCGTGGACTCCCGATGATTGCGAGTCAAGGGGGCCAAAATGAGAAGGATGCGATACAGTCGATATGGGTATAATCCTGAGATTCATGTTATTTTCATTAGGTTTAGAGATCAATCCGTGCTATACTAGTGTCGCTATTTCTGTCACCATCAGGACGCTACGGGCCCTTTTCCGCCCTTCAGTTGTTATGTGTCGGATCCGGGTTTTCCGCGCTTCTCCTTTTCCTGTCAATTGGCCCGTGCATCTGTCAATGGCAAGCGTCCTCGTCACAAGAAGGCTGGGGAATAGCGTCCCTTAGCAGCACAATCGATCATACCAGACTCTAATACGGCTTGGTCTTCCAGATGACGCGGCCAGCACAGTAACCGCCCCTGGGGCTAAATCCCGCATGCAGCCCAATTTGATAATGACACACACCGACGGACCTTCCTTTTTGTCCATCAATGAAAACTAGGAGTCGCTCTGTATAGGCCCAATCGGCCTATGTCACTAACTAGTATGAGGAAGTGTGTTTTCTCCTGTTTTGCCAAGCATGCAAAGGAGAGAAGAGGACTGGAGCGATTCATGTATGTGATGGCCCTGCATATGTGTCGCAAACACGCAGGTGTGCTGAGATCCGGGCCTCATAGGTCACTTTTACCGCGACGGAGATATTCATCTCCAAGGACGGGAAATACTTCCCGTCGTCCATGCTACGAGGGTTGCTTGGCACGAGGGTCCAGGTCGTGCACCAACTGAAAGCGCCATGTCCCTGGAAGGGACCAGGGTCCATTGCAGACGCGTAAGTCTGGTTGCTTGTAGTTTTGCCATTGTTCTTTTATTTGCGTACGCTGTATGTTCATACATCCATGTATACCAGCCAGAACGAATTCGTCTACCTTCTGGCCGTTCCGACTCGCGGTATTGCATGAGCAATTGCTAGGGTGATTCCTTATGATGAAGTCAAAATTGTGACATTTTTTGTTCTATGTCTTTGCCTTGGGCTGTATCGTTTCCCTTCGGAGGTACTTCGCATCTGACGCCGCTCTCATTCTCTCTACAGGGGCAAACTGGAGCAATGTGCAGATCTTGTTGTATGAGCTTGAGGCATGCTATCTTTCTGGACAACCGACACTGAATCCCAACGAGGACCATCTTTCGAACGTGGTTCAAGCTGGAGAGTACAAAGTACAAAGAAGACATTCATGGGTAAGTGAAAAAGAGATAGCGTCTAGCCTATCGTCACAACCACTAATATAGAAGCTATCTACTCCCTGCAACTGAGTAACTCGATTTACTGTAAGTCCCAGACAACGTTTGTCCTATGTTTTTCATTCTGACCTTTGACTTCAAATCTCGAATTAGATACTGCTCTGACCTAGTCGACCCATCCTCGTCATGCCAGTCCTGGACGACAGAGGAAGAGAACCAGCGAACTCTTCTACTGCCCCAACTCCCAATTTTGACACCAACTAGCAACGGTGATGCACACAAGAAAGAAATTGCTGGCAAGGGGGCATACTTTCTGTGCATTCGATAAGCACGTCAGTGGTTCAGAACGTCTTCTTGGATCTTGAACCTAGACATACGGTAGACCCAAGTCTCAGCTTGTTTACATATATCAAATTGACTTCGCCGCCCACAGACAATAAGCACAGTGCAATGCGGGAATCCAGACACGGTACTTGATTGATGGAAAACAGACCCTTCGGGGTAAGGTAGGATCCCGATGGACTAAAAGAAGTATAGACAAAACAACAGGTCAAAAGCTGGATCTGGATTGCGTAGAAGGCACTTTTCTCTTATCCTTCAATTCAATTCAATTCAATTCATATTCTTATACCTGATCGAGCCCGCTAAGTAAGATGCTAGCTATGCAGGTGCTTCACCGTTTGAAGCAGAGAATATAGCCCCGAACACCGTCAAATTCCTCAAACTCGCAGTAAACATATAAAATATAAAATAATATAAGCTATGATGTAGGAAGGTCGTCGCCGTAGCTTAATATAATTAGACTAGATATAATAATAGCAAAGCACTATTATATAAAAGTAGATTTAAATAAATATTATAGCTGTCCGGCCAGCTGCCTGGCCAGCTGTCTGTAAATTACTATTCTTTCTGTTTTTCGTCTAATCCCTGCTTCTAATATATGTATTTCTTTTAGTATGCGTGTCTTTCCTGCTGACTTAAACAGGGCATGTTTATTTTTTCTATCTAGTATTTTTAGTATCTATTTTTATAATTCTAAGATTTACATGTTCCTGGCCTGGATTAGGATCAGGATCAGAATTGAGTTTAACCTGACTGAACTGCCTGAGTAAGTCTGTTTACAATATAAATTTAGTAATATAGTAGATTACCTGTGAATCTGATATAATAGAATTATAATTAGTAATCTTATTCTCCGAAGTAGATTCTTATATAGTAATCTTATTAAGCATCTGATTACACAGCCCCATAAAGTAAAAGTATATTAAAAGTATATATTTAGAAGTTTAAAATCTTTTTTTATAGCTGTATCAGTTATTCTTCTATATCTTAATTTTGTAGAGAAAGTGCGCGAGGCCAATTCTCTATATATATATTTATATAATTACAGATATATATATCTTAGAAATATTTTTATAGAGTATCAGTATCTTTTTCTCAGAGAAGATTTCTATTAATTTTTATATTAATACTATTATATATTTAATTTTCTATTACTTAATTTATTTTTTCTAGAATTTACTGCAAACAGTCCTCTTGGCCGCAGATACAAGCCAGATTATTTATTATTTTAATCTAGTTCTATATTTTATTATTTATTTTATCTTAGAGTCTATAATCTCATTTCCTTTAATCTCTATATAAACAGAAATCTAATAAATTATAAGATCTATATTTTACAGAGCTTTAAATTTATTATAGATAATTTTTATATATAATTGTCTAGATAGACGGCCTGGGGTCTCTACTATCTAAATTATAATCTGATTATTAATAAAAATATAGATCTTACTAGAATTACATCTTGATAGAATATCTTCTGTGAGGATAAAGATTATCTTAATATCTTCTAATTTAGTTATATATATAATTAAATTTATTTTAATATCTAAATATACTCTCTGGACTTATCTGGTATAGAGACTGATTATAGAGACTTTTATATCTTTATAATAACTGCTGTTATCTGTATATAAGATAGCTGAGACTGATTGGATATAATAAAATTAATTATAATTAGTAAATATAATCTTATAGAATTAAATATTACTTTAAATACACAGCTTCTAGAAAATTAATATAAATATATTATAGATTTCCCACGCCTCTTTCCATTGCAGAGTGGTAGAGGTAAGAACTATATTTTTTATTTATTTAAAAATTTTAAGCAGACTCATATCTCTGAATATAAATATCTTTTTATAGTATTAGTATTTTAAGTTTTAAGATTAGGTAATCTCTGGTTCTGTTTAAATATATAAAACAGTTTTTTTAATTATTTATTATATAAGCTATCTTATGGGCAGCAGGTGAAGTTTAATATCAAGTATAATTACAGCTATACTTTTAAAGATTTTATTAATTAAAATAACTATATATTTCTAGATTCTAGTAAACTTTATCTTTATACAGGCCCACTGCTTAGCAGGGATCTGTCAGCTGATAGAACTGTATTATATAATAATTTTATATAATAACTGCAGAATAACCACCGCGCGGTAGATCCTGTATATAAAAATAATTAAGATATTTTATATAAAGTCTGTAATATTCTGAAAGATTTTAAGATTTCTGCTGGCCTTGGTAACAGCCTTAGCCTAATAAATATTAAATAAGAGGATTTTATTAAGCCAGATACTAAGATATCAGATTAATTTTAAGAATTAAATAATAATTAATATATTTATTAATTCTGGAGAGACAGAGATTATAATAGATAAACAGTTATAGTTTTTTTATTTATAATATTTCTAGATATTAATACTCTCTGGCAGTTTGTCCGGTTTATTCAGATCGGGATCAGGAGCGTGAGGGTTTTTAAAATAAATAAGTTTAAATTTATCAGATGCGAATTTTAATATATAATATTATAATTATATATTAGCTTTTATGAAAGCTTTTTCTAGCAGCTGCTTATTAATAGTATAATTTTTTAATATTACTAGAATAATTATATTATTTATTCAGCTGAATGCCTGGATCTTTTCTTTGGAATGAAATTTAGAGTAAGCTCGGAGAAGAGAAATATTAAATAATAAAAATAAAATTAATAAGATAAATAAATTCTGTAAAATATTATTTAATATTAATAGTAGTTTGCTTAGATATTCCTGCATCCAGAGCTGGGTTGTTTGATTATATAGAAATACTACTATTTATAATATAAAGTAACTTAATTTCACTTATTTAAAGTTATTGTCAAACCCTAGGATCGCTTCCCTGTCCCAGTTAGCTTAGCCCCGTTGGTATACGTACCGCTGAACTACGTCAAGGTAGTATTGACTGATGACTATCTGAGAGACAACTAGGTCGTGGACAAGAGAAGAGAAGTAAGGCCGAATAGTGCCGCGCAGCTATCCGTAAGTAAGTGCGGACGAGCGTTCTGTAGCTAAGCTTCCAAACGTATGGTTACTTAAAGACAGTAGTATTGAGCACGAAGAACAGAACTAACTAAGTACATGAGCGAGTGTTCTTATATATCCTATCCTCCGTATACCATATCATATACCATTCAGGGTAGATCGGTGGTCGACCCTGAGATTCCTGTATACCCTGCG